CCATTACAAATTGTAGCTTCATTTTCAGCTGGTTTCGACCACTTGATTGATTTCTCTTTGTGCACATACAGGAGTCCTTTACCTGATCCTGTTAAATCGGTTCTTGAGGAGGGCATAGATTTGTTCCAGCTCCACAGTAGAAGACATGGGAGGTAATCGCCAACACTACATGAAAATTTGAATTATGCCAAACCGACGTCTTTTCTAGTCATGATTTTTTTTCTGCCTGTTTTGTTTTCCTTCTGATTTGTCTTGCTGTAGAATTGAGTCGGCGAAAGGAACATATGCAGCAGAATGGACCAAATGGGAGAAACAGCTGCGAGATGTTTTAGCTGCAAATTCTAAGTATCTCAATTCTATTCAGGTAAAACAGCCACACCCGTTCTTGGTATCGTAACTACTTCAGTTTACATGGTTTGCATTTGTTGAGAGACCGGATGCACATATGATGTCTTTGTTTTTGTTTGCAACTTTCAGGTTCCGTTCGAGTCTGCGGTTCAGCAAGTGCGAGAAGAGCTAAAGAGAATCGCAAAGGGTGAATACAGACCACCAAGTTCAGAGAAAACAAAACACGGGTCTATTGTTTTCGCTGCCATCAACTTGCCTGTTACTCAAGTCCACAGTCTTCTTGGAAAGGTAACCAACAAAACTCTTTTACTACTATATTAAAAACCTTCATGTTCTTTCATATTGGAGATCATTTAGACCCAAACTCGTCAACCACCGAAAACTAGAAGTTTGAAAGTTTCACAAACTATGTTTTTAATAGATGTCTTTTTCGTTCTTATTAGTTGGCCTCATCAAACCCAACAGTGAGATGTTTTCTAGAGGGAAAGAAGAAAGGAATAGAGGCAAAACTGGAACGGGCTCACGTGACGCTTGCCCACAAGAGAAGCCATGGGGTAGCAGCCGTAGCCATCTATGGTCAGCACTTGAACAGAGAGGTACCCGTAGAGCTCACGGAGCTCATCTTCAACGACAAGATGGCTGCTCTAACAGCACATGTCGGATCTGTAGACGGAGAGACCATAGTCTGTAAGAACGAATGGCCACATGTTACGCTGTGGACAGCGGAAGGGGTTACCGCAAGAGAGGCCAACACGTTACCTCAGCTTCACGCAGAGGGAAAGGCGAGCCGCGTGGTGATTGATCCTCCTGTCTCAATTTCAGGTCCTCTGGAGTTTTTCTGAATAGTTAGATTGTTTCCACTGTGATGAGATTTTGAGGTAGATATTATTTTATTTGGTGCAAGTGTGCCTGCCTCTTCACAATTTCGCTCTGGTAGCTAATGAAAAAATCAACCATGGATACCTTGTAATCTTGACCACTAACAGTGCCTGATAATTTCAAAGTTTAGAAATCAAGTTTTTGTGACAATGTGTAAGTTTATCTTCTTCCCTCAACATCTCTGTTTAGACGTTCATCATCGTGCGGCCAAATTTTAACACTGCAAGTTTTTGTCATCTAAGGAACAAATTCAAATGAAGTAGAAAAAAAAAACTCCAGTAATATTATGATTTGTAAACTCAGTAATAGCTTAATTCTCCAAAGCAAAAAGGTTTGTCGATATAATTTGCTTGATATTTCATTTAGGTTTTGCCGAAAAAAAATTCAAAAAAGAATGTTAAGAATAAAGTAAAGTGGGTCCACACCAGCGACGGAGAGAGCAGCCGGGAAAAATCCAACGAGCCCTAAACCTCTCCTCTTTTGTTTTTCCGAAATACTGTTTCCTGCCATGGACTCTGATGCGAGGAGGAAGATGAGCACCTCTCAGGGTTCTTCCCCTTCTCCGAAGCCATCCAAGTTCTCTGTGTACCGGAACCCTGCTCTCGTCGCTGCTTCCACCGCCAATAGCCTCCGTCCCTCTAAATCCGTCCTTTTATTCATGTTTTTGCTCTCTACCGCTTCCGCTTTCTCTCTCGTTTCCTTCATGGCGGGGTACGTGCGAGCATTAAGCTTCAACTTCCTAGTGGAGTAGAGCATTGCCTCTTAATTACCTTGTTGGAGCATTTGCATCTAGTTTTTGGAATTTTCTGGTTCGGGAACTTCCAGAACTAAGGCCTTAGTGTAATTCTACTCGTTTTTTCACACTATGATTTAGAATGGTATTGTTGCTCATATGAATCGCAATCTGGGAAGTATCTATCACGATGATGAAACTCGCAAGTGGAAGCATCAGTTTTGACTGATATTTTGCTTGTTTATCTCATGTTGCAGGGAGAAAATATTGACCAATGCTTTAATATTCGGGAGCATAATATCACAAGAAGCAGCTTGTGAGTTGCATTTTTCTCCTCAGAGACTTCCTTTTTCCTAAGCTTCTTGATGTATCTAAAATCTACCTTATTGCTTCAGATGTCACTGTAAAGGCGTGGCAGGGTGTGGTGACTTTGTTTTGTATCGGAGCAATCATAGCTTTGTCCAAAGGCATATACCTGCACAGAGCAAAGTTCGCCGCTCCAGAAGAAACTAAATCTTCCTCTAAAGAGACTAAAGATCAGTTCTCTCTATCAAATCGCCAGCTTAAGCTTCTTGGGGTAAAGAAAAAATCTGATCAGGGTGTTTCAGAAAGTCCAAAGAGCCGTCCCGCTTTGAAATCTTCACAGTCATTGGAGCCGCTTGTCCCAATACATCAAGCTCTTACTGGTTCAGCGCATAAGTCCTCCAGTGGTGGTGATAAGATGAGTTCCCGAAATGGGAGTCAGATTAGTCCATTTAGCACTCCATCCAAACAAATGGATTCGCCATCATTGTATCTTGTCCCTTCTAATTCACCAGCTTCTTCTAACCGTGCTTCATCTGGCCAGGAGAAGGCTGTTTCTAGTCCTTGGTCTGGTAGACGAAGCTCTGCAAAAGACATTGCCACTGAGGAGCAGCTTGAGCAGCTTTTGGCAGATCTAGATGAGAAAATCACTGAGTCAGCTGGGAAGATACTGACGCCTCCAGCAACAGTTGGGAGTTTTCCCATGGCTAGTCCGAGTACAGTTGGTGGTTCAACCGGTGCATCTGGGACTACTAGGAGCACACCACTGAGACCTGTGAGGATGTCTCCTGGTGTTCAGAAATTTACGACTCCCCCAAAGAAAGCAGAGGGTGATTTCCCCAACCCAATGTCCTTTGAAGAGGCTATCGAAGGTTTTAGGCACCTTGGTGTCTATCCTCAGATTGAATACTGGCGTGACCGACTAAGGCAATGGTGTTCCTCTGTGTTGCTCAAACCTCTGCTTAACAAAGTTGAAACCAGTCATATTCAGGTTTGTTTTTGGAGGCCTTTCTGAAAATACACTGCTCTTCATATGCTTGTCTGCTGATGAATGAGTTGATGAAACATTCGAATTTCTTGTCTCCTTGTGTTGCTGTGAACATTTATTTGAAATTTTTGACGTGTGCAGGTAATGGAAACAGCATTGAAGCTAGGTGTTAATGTCACAGTAACTCAAGTGGGAAGCGATGTGCCAACAAATGGAACAGCTACCACTGCCGTGCCGGTTGATCGAACCAAGGGGTGGCAGCCATCTTACTCTCTCGATGAAGATGCACTTCTTTATCAGTTACGCGCCACCCTTGTACAGGCTATTGATTCATCCATGCGTAAGTAACATTCCTTAAACTTTTAGGTGATTTGGTCAAACAGGTTTCCCTTCTTAAGTTGAAGTGCTCTTCCACTGTTTTGAAATTAGTGTAGTCAACTTAAGGTTCTTAAAATTTCTGAACTTAAGGATCGTCAATTGATTGATTATCTGGGAGAAATTAATAATATGGTGTCATCTTGTGGGTTGTTACTAAATGTTTAAGACTTCATAGTTCATACAGCTACTAAATGTTTGTTCTGCCATATGCAGAAAAGCTGCGTACAGAGAACCAGGCGTTTCAGCAACAACAAAATCAACAGCAAGCGGCGCTAATCCCGGTCATGCAGGAATGCGTTGATGCTATAAGCGAACATCAGAGGCTTCAGGGCTTGATGAAAGGAGAGTGGGTCAAGGGTCTGCTTCCGCGCAGCAGCATTCCAGCAGATTACACCGTGCAAAGAATCCGAGGTACCAAACATTTCAAATAAAAACATTTCCCATCCTAATGTTAGTCGATTAATCGTGACTCTCTTAACTCTTGGCGTTTGGCAGAGCTCGCGGAAGGAACTTGTGTGAAGAACTATGAGTACAACGGAAGGGCAGATAGTCGTGAGAGAAACAAGAAATGGAGCCTGGAGCCTCCAACCGATTCTCATCTGCTTCTCTACTTGTTCTGTGCCTACTTGGAACACCCGAAATGGATGTTACATCTGGACCCCAGCTCTTATACAGGGACTCAGGCGAGCAGGAACCCGTTATTCTTGGGTGTTCTGCCTCCGAAAGAGAGATTTCCCGAGAAGTACATTGCAGTTGTATCAGGAGTCCCATCTATGCTCCATCCAGGTGCATGTGTGCTTGCTGTAGACAAGCAAAGCCCCCCGACGTTTGCTCTTTACTGGGATAAGAAGGTGCAGTTTACTCTTCAGGGTAGTGCAGCGCTATGGGACTCGATGTTGCTCATGTGCCACAGAATCAAGGTGGGATACGGAGGTGTTGTTCGTGGGATGAATCTTGGTTCTTCGGCCCTTGAAATCCTCCAAGTTGTTGATTCGGAAACTGACGATTAAACTCATTTGTCCCATCTAATGGATTTTGCTTGAGACAGTGAAGGTGAAATTGTTAGGAAACGCCATCGGATTTTGCTATTGTTCGACGGAAATGTAATGAAATTAGTTCCCTTTTGCTTAAATCCACTAAAAATGAAATTTCAAAAGTACAATGCAGTTGCTGGTCAGCACATAAGTGTAAAAAAATCTTGGCTACCTACATTTGTGTCCTTGTCTAACTGTAACTTAAACAGACTGAAAACTTTAGGCAAAAACAGAATGGGTTTGAAATAACATATAAAGCCAAGACCTCTCCAAGATGTCTAACTAATGGCCAAAGTCATAACTCTATGAACAAAACTCTGAAAACCAAAGGGATGAATCACAGTTCCTTGTCTTCAAGCTGTGCTTTTTCTGCTGCCTTTTCAGTTTCCTCTACAACAAACGCCTTTAGCGATTCAACGTCTCTTTTTCCTGAGTTTACAAACAAGAGTAACGTGTAGTATTACTCTCAAGTAGAGGATAAAATTACAGGTTCCATCCAAATATGCACGTGAAAGCAAGTATACCTTGATATTTTGAGACTTCTTCTCCATTGTAAAAGAGCTTAAAAGTTGGATATGAGTGAATCTCAACTTTGGTGCAAACAGCTCTGCTAGTACCACAATCTACTTCACCAATCTCAATTTCATCGTCTCCTTCCATTGCATTTCCCAATTCTTCCCAGAGATTCCCCAATTTCTTGCTGACACTCAAAACCCAATTTCCATCAACACGTGTTGATAACACAGTGCCAAATAAATAACACAGCTACGTAATTATCAGGAGAAACAAGAATACTAACCAGTGCTTACACCAAGGAACACAAAATTTAACAAACCACGCTGTATCCTTCTCCTTTACCTGAACCAATAAACATTGAGAGAGAGAGAGAGTAAACATCCCAATACTTTCACTGTATACGCAACATTAAGAGATACAACCATCTAATCACCAAACTCCAAAACAAAGACTACAATACAGAGCCAAGGAAGAAAAAACACAATGTTGAAATTGTTAGGGATGCGAGAAGGTCACCAAAAGCTGAATCACTACTCAGATAATTCAGAATTTACACATATGAGCAACCGATCTTAAGACAGTCGTTCTCAATTCGCATAATTATTTAAAGGATCACAGAACATATATCTAAATCTACCTGATTCCAGTGAGAAAAACACATAGGGCTTGAGATGGTTACCTTGTCAGAAAAGGTTTCTGGGGTCAGTGTAATGACTTCCGCTTTCGTTAATTCAGTTGTTAGAGAAAGAAGAAGTATTATGACGGGAGCAATTAGCCGAGCACCGAGCTTCATCGTACCAAATTTGTCTACTTCACTAGTTCTGAATCTTCTCTTCCGATTTACGGAACTGTAAAATAAATCGAAATTTGATTAAGAAACTTGTTCATCTCTATGTTTTTTTTGCGTTACAGTATTGCAATCGGAGGAAATTCCAAAGAGATGGAGATGCGTAAACTGAAAGCAATCAATTCCAGTGAAAACTAAAATCCAAGGCGAAGAAATCGAAGCGAGATTCATCAAAAGAAATCAAATGGATCAGACAGAAGAATGGTAGTAGGAGAGGGATCTTAGATGTGTCTGAATCGCTTACCTTTCTGCAAACCAATACTGAGATAGAGAGAAGACGAAACAAACCAACCCAGGAAACAACAAAAAAAAGTCAATCAAGTAGCCATTGCTCCTTTGACCACACTTTATTTTGGGCCTCTATGGGCCTGGCTAGTTTTTACCATTAATCTCATCTTCACTCGGTCTATAATCGCAATTGATATCAATAAATTAGCAGACGCCACCTCAAACATTGTCGAATTTTCTTTTTCATTTGTACCTTACAAGTTCATTGGAAATTCCTTTTTCTACCTTTAATAGATTTCGAAATATATTAAATCGACAATGTTGGAAAACAAAAAAATCAATTTTACGAAAAAATCCAAAAATTTAAACCGGTTGTAACCAGAGCTCTGAGAACCAGTTGAAGAAGTCATGCACATTTATTATCTTTGTGCTCGCTCTCATTCTTCCATCATGGAAACTGATTTGGGACGGTGAATGCTCTCACATCCAGGACAGTTGTGTAAGCTCTCGTGGATGTATATGTCACAGTCCAGACAGAAATAATGCTTGCATTTACTACATGTTACACATGACCCGCCCTTGTTCCCTGCTGCAAAACAACATCAAGGAGCAACTCTTTTTTTTATGAAACTGTGTAACACAATATCAACTTAATTCAAACAATATTATGCCTTTATACCTGCACCACGTAGGCTCTGTTGACAGCCAAAGCAACTCTTTGGCATTAGATTATTGAGACTTGAAAGAGGAACCTCGTCGAATGGAGCAATTGGGAAGAGATGATGGTATGATCTCGCCAAATGTGGCGATGAAACAAGCGTCAGACCGCATATCGTGCATTCCGTAGGGAGATCACATATGCGAGCTTTGCATCTCGGACACGTGTAGCCACCAATTTTAGCTTCGTTGTGGCACGAACATATAGCCCTTGAATTCTCAGCAGCACTCTGTGGGAAACCCATCTTGATCAAATTTGCAACCGCAAACTCTGCTATTGCCGGAGGTGGAGGCGCATGTTCGAGTAGAAGATCCTTTAGATGTACCTGCATGATACAGCAAATAAAACATAAAGCTTCTATTTGCAGAGGCACGTAGAGTAAGAAGAAGGTAGCTAAAACTCACCTCATCTAAGGCAACAGAATACAATCCACCAGTCTCTTGGCAGAGGTATTTGCATATGAACATTTCTGCAGAAAGACCAATCACAGAACATCTTAACTTGGATTCCTTGCATCTCTGAATGGTCTCCATGATATTGCCTGGATCACAAGTGCTTAGAGCTGAGTACAATATCAGAACCTCGCGATGACCGTACGACGGAATCTGGCTGAGATACTCATGTACAAGCTCCAGACCATTCTGCAAAGAAGAGTCCCCTGAAGCTTCAAGCTTTCCCATCAACGCTTGAATGTGCGACTCAGGACTACCACCAAGATCTGTCAGTGTATGCGCAACTCCATCTTTTATCGAAACCAGACCAATTTGACTCAGAGGGTTCTGGTCAAAGAACTCTCTAATGAAAGCTTCAACATGTTTCGCCATTATAGCCAGTCGGCTTGGTCGAAAATCCATTTCCGCAGCTGCCTAGACACAATTAAACATGCCAAATGTAAGACATTGCATATTCAACAAAGACTCAGAAAGCAAAGTAAAGATCAAAAACAAAAACCTCTTCATTCATTCAAAAGCTCTAACAGCTCATGTATATTAAAACCAAAACCCAATTGAGAGTAAGATTACACATTACAAACAATACAGAGCCAAGTCTAGACATTATTGAGAAGAATAAAGAGAAAAATCTCTTAAATTGAGCTTTCAATTCAAAGGATAGCAGTGTAGAAAATTCTCTTAAATTAAGTTTTGAAACAATACAGAGCCAAGTATAGACATTGTTGAGAATAAATATTTTAAGCTCAATTTCGATTCAAAGGAGAGCAGTGTACAAAAGTCTCTTAAACTAAGTTTTCAAACAATACAGAGCCAAGTATTGACATTCTTTAGAAGAAATCTCTTAAGCTCAATTTCGATTCAAAGGAGAGCAATGTACAAAAGTCTCTACCAATTATCCTAAAACGCATGATTTCTCGTAATCAACTCAAGCTAGAACTCACAAGACCTAGAAAACCAAAAAAAGGCAATGAAATTTACCCGAGAGAAGTCAATGACGATGTAGAGATAACGAATAAGTCCCTTTTGGATGCGAGTACCAGCAGCAGCAGCGGAGAGCATGCGGAGACGACGCCGATACTGAGCATGGTATATGGCACTGTTATCAATTGGGCGTAATAGTCCAGACTCATCCTCTTGCAACGCCTCCCACGATCTATCGTCCACATACGTTCTCTCCCAATCACCGATTCCTTCCGCCTCCTCTTCGTCTTCTTCAGCTTCTTCGTTTAATCTCTTACTTCGATTACTCATCAAAACCGCCTTGGAGACGACGATTCCAGAAGATTTATAGAAGAATCGAAACTGAAATTACAGTCACAACAATCACACAACTCCCTTTCACTTTGTTTGATTCTCGCCGTTCTCTTCCCTACTTCTTATTTTCTTTTTTGCACTTTCTCTCTCCCTTGTTTTTAGTTTTATAACTTAATCTCGACCTTTCAAATGGGCATTAAGTTATAGCCCAAATTAAGCCCAATTAGTTAGAAATTAGGGAGAAAAAGACCTGTTAGTATGATTTAGTAAATAAAGGACCTAATTGGTTAAGAAACAAAAGTTTCATAATTAGGTCCTTTGGCTTACGCTTTAGGACAATATTTTCTTCAATTTGGTTTGCTAACATTATGATTTTGATTTGTAAAATTTACTGTAGCCAGATTCTACTATGAAAACAAGAAAAATTATAGTTCCGACCACTCTTACAAACTCGAACTAGGTAAAAAGAAAAAAATGCATACATTCTAAAGATGAACTATGTGCAATCTCATTAGGGGATTAATAAGGAAGGTGGAGATTGGGGAGATGGAACCAAATTAACCAGGACAGGACACAAAATTCCCAACGGTTTATCTCGGTTCCAACCGGTTTGATTTCATCCTGCATTTGCCATGGCCCTTTCCCATTCCTCCAACGCCACCTCTGCTTTTACTTTCTCAGGAACACAATCTGCGAGTTCAAGATTTTAAAAGTCACGTCACATTTACAGTAAACAGTGAGCAATTAGAGAAACCAATACTTCATATGACATTAAGTACCCGCAAGAAACTCATATCTCTCATCGTTACTCACTACGGATGCTGCCAAAGAGAAAAACGAAACAGTGGTTAAGAGATTTTTCAATCCATTGGTGCTTCAGAATTGAAGTTCACGTCTGCACTAGTTCAGATTCTAGATATAGGCAAATAGGGACGAGATTCGAGCTTACAAAGATGTTTGTAGTGGATGAATTTCTTTCTGTCCTGGACAGAACTTTCATAAGCTTCTTCAGAGAACCGCTCAATGAACATTTCCTTCGATTACAACAAGTGCAAATCCACAAGAGGTAAGAGCCAAAACCAATTTGCAACAATTAGCAGAAAAAAGTTCACCACCATTGCAATTTTCGAGACTATAAAGCCTAATTGACACTGATTAGCAACTGATATTCCCAAATTCATCAAAAACTTGTGTGGAATCAAGTTCCTTAAACTCAATATAACTCAATATGTTATTGATTGGGTACTATACCGTGGCTTTGTTGACAAGAAATACAGCGTCCTGCATGATCTGAGGAGCGGTGTCGTCGCTTCTCATGATCCGCCGAATCCGATTCATCGGAAACCTAAACGTCTTAGCGTCTTCCACGCCTCCTTCGCCGTCTTCCTCTTCTCCATTTTTCCTCCTATTCACCGGAATTGCGGTGCTTTTCCCGTTACGTCCCTTGCTCACAACGCCATTGCTTTTCTTCGGCTCATCACGTCTCACTAATTCCACAGAGTCGCTGCTCGAAGATTCCGAGATCTCGTAAACCTCCGGCTCCTTCTTCGCATTACTCCCGGATTTCACCTTACTCGGCGTCTTCGTCGTCGTTTTGGAACCTGAGCTGCGACCACCACCAGCTTTATCGACGCCATCGCTCCTCGGCTTCTTCTCCTCCTTGTTCGGTTTCTTAGACGACACCATTGTTCACAACTACGTTTCACCACTTTCGCCACAATAAAGCCAATTGAATTCGATATATTCTTACATGGGCTTTTAAATGAGCCTTATAGGCCCATTTTATCGTGATCAAATTGATACCATAGGCCCAGGTATGGACAAGGTTTGGCTTTGACTGTTTCTATTTCAGGACGGGTTACCGAATCTGACCAGACCATGTCCCATAAACTCGAATTTGTTACGTTATACTTAAATCATTTGTAACATTTACTTTTATTAAATATCCAAATTAAAGACATCCTCTTCTTAAAAAACTTAGAAAAACTCTTTCTTTTAATTGAGAAAACAGTAGTTAAAATTAAAAACCAGTTAATATAAATAATTGAATACTCCATTAAATATAAAGATGGGAATCATGGGATTGGGATGGCATTTACATGTACTTCATTCAAATTTTGCAGTAATGGACAAGAACAAAGATTGTAGATAAAATTAAAAACATTATCTTGTTTTCCAAAGGATATTTTGATAGGATAATTTTGGGATTAGATAAGGAAAGATGGGGTAATGTTGGACGTATGAGACAGATTAGGTGTCCTCAAGCTGGAACCACCACGTGTGTACAACGACATGTGTGATACTCTAATTAACTCTCTCTGAAATAACAAACGTGGCCTAGTTCGTGTCTACAATCTTCCATTTCATCTTCTTAAATAGAGAAGACGAGTTTGGCTTTTCATACACTGTCTTGTCTTTAACCACTCCGACACAAGCAAACTGTGAAGCAGGCAAAAAGAAAACGGTGTTAAGTTTTCATTGTTATTATCAATGGCTGTTGTAGAAGAACCCATCCTTTCGAGATTGGACCGTATTGATTTCATGGTGAGGAAGCTAGAGGAGATGAAAGGAAGCTCGCCGAGAAGCTCGAGCCCATCGACTCCGTCGAGTGGGACACAGCCATCGTCACTGGATCTGTCGTCACCGAGGAGCACAGGGAAGGTTCAGTGCCGTTCGATGGAGCAAGTAATGGAGGAGACTGAGAGGAAAGGAACTTTGCTGGAGAGACTAAACAATGTGGAGGAGCAAGTTCTTAAGCTGTGCTCGCAGTTTGAGGGAGAGTTTGAAGAAGAGAGAAAGAAGGAGATGTCGACGACGGAGAAGGAGAAGAAGACGAAGAAGAAGAAGGGATTGAGGAAGTTCGTGGATAAAGTTGTCGGATCTGGATCTTCTTCTCCGACCAATATCCATTCCAAGAGCTGGCGTTGCTGAGCCATTGTGTGTACTTTGTTACTATATTCCATGGATGTATAATTCAACCACTTTAAAAGCTTCTCTTCTTTTCTTATGATGAAGGGCTTTTTACTTTCATTTATGTTCCGGATTTTATTGTTTGGTCATGTGTGTTCGTTCAGTGTGCATATTTTAAACAAAGAGTGTACAAGTTTTTCTAAGAATTCGAGGAATAAACTGTGAGATATTGCAAATATGAAACTATGTATGCAAATAGTGGACACAGTAATTGACCAAATAAATGGAACATGAGAGTTGTTCATCCTGTTGTAAATTCGTAACACGATTAAGGCAAACTATTAACTGCTGACTTTAATAAATGTGATGTCTGATCACAAGTCACCTGGCTGGTGACGCAAGTGTTCCCTCGATGTTTACCATCTCCACGATCATTCAATTGAAGCACACATAAGATGATGACATAAAGATAAACTACTAAAACTAGGCATCACCATCGTCATGACTAGCACCACCGTAATCATCAGACACAAATCTGTGGAATAGCGAGATTTAATTATTAATATCACGCTCAAAAGTTCCTTTAATCATAAAAATAAATAATAATCTGCTCAGTTTTCCCCATTTTTACTTTTTCCCCTTGTTTATGCTAATTTGGGCCTCGATTTTTCAAATTTTCGGAAAACTCCGATCTCCATCTCTCTCTCTCCCTTTTCCTCAGGATCTCACTCTCTTATCTGACTGATCGATTAGGGTTCTAGATCCCCCAGCCGAATTCGCTAAGAAGAGATTACCTAGATTCACTGCTTGGTTCTAGGTTTTCGGCGGATCTAGCTAACTTCTTCTCGTTCTTCAGCTACGGCGAAGCTTCTCAGTTCAACTCATCTTCGCCGCCATGTTTTGGAAGCTCACGTCTCTCTCTGCATCATCTCCTGTGAGTTGAAGAGACTTTTTGTATTTTTTCCCGTCCATGTCCAGTTTTGTGGTTGCTTTCCTCTCGAAATTGATTTTATGTTTATCTCCTGTGGTTCGTTAGCTGGAGTGGTTCTATGTCTGCGTTCATATGTATTTCGCTTATATTCTTATAATTCTCTGTTCGAATTGTGGATTTGCTCGTTTTTCAATTTTCTGATTAATTCGTACCTCTGACTGCTATGCGTTTTGCTCAATTGTCATCCTTATTTTCTTCTGGGATTGTGTATGTGTGTGTGTGTGTGTTCCCATTCACGCGTTCTACTGAAGTTAGTCTAAACGTAATTATCAAACCTAGCATATGACTTGTTGGAATTCCAGTTTACATATCAGAGTAGATGTGTTATTGTCAATATCACTTGCCGCTATTCATGATTGTTAAATGCATTGATGTTCTTTCATTATGTTATGAACATAGGTGGACTCGATATTAGACAAAGAGAATTTCACGTTGGAGGAGCTTCTTGACGAGGAAGAAATTATTCAAGAATGCAAGGCTTTGAATAGCCGGCTCATAAACTTGTAAGCTTTTTTTTTGTTTTTAATCATTTATCATTTTTCTTATTTTCATCGTAATCGATTTCGTATTGATTGGGTATTAATGGTTGCAGTGTAAGGGATAAAGCTCAAGTGGAGCAATTGCTGCGGTACATTGTTGAAGAGCCTCCAAATGATGCTGAGAGTAAACGTGCTTTCAAGTAATATGCTTCCTTGTTTCTAACTGGAGCTAACCTTGTCTTATCATTCTTTCCTTTCGTCTTTTAACCGCTTAGCTAATAATAGATTCTTCTTCTATTAGGTATCCATTCATGTCTTGTGAAATATTTACATGTGAAATTGACGTTATTCTGAAAACTTTGGTGGAGGAAGAAGAGGTATTTTTACATTAATCATCTCAAATGGCATTTTATACTTTTCACTTTTGTGCCATTGGAATATGTTTTACAGTTACCCTTGATCTCATTTGTTGGTTTAATTTTTATCCTGCAGCTGATGGACTTGCTTTTTTCCTTCCTGGAACCAAATCGTCCTCATAGTGCGTTGCTAGCAGGATATTTTAGCAAGGTGCGTCTTAGCCAGCTTGTAGTAGTTCTTTGTTTCTACCCGTAATTATATGGTTTCAGTTATTTCAAGATTCCGCGATGATATGCGCCTTACTTGTGTCTGTTTGGTTTAGGTTGTGATTTGCCTTATGGTCAGAAAGACTGCAGCGCTTATGAGTTATGTAAAAGTAAGTAGTAACATAGTTAAACGGAAGTAATCTTCTTCTTTTCTTTTTGGATGAGCTTTATGATTTGTTTTGTGTTGAGGTACCTATGGTTCTCAAAGTAACTTTTGATGATCACAGGGGCATGAAAATGTTTTCTGCCAGTTGGTTGATTTGATTGGGATAACATCCATCATGGAGGTAATTGGTTTGTCTTAGACTCAGTGCAGCTTGGTGTAATAACATGATCATCTAGATCCTTCTATAGGTGTAGCCTGGGGTCATTTTTGCTATAACATTTATGTGACATTGTCTAGGTTTTGGTTCGCTTAGTCGGGGCTGATGATCAGGTCTATCCCAACTTTCTGGATGTGATGCAATGGCTGTCTGATAGCAATTTACTTGAAATGATCGTGGACAAACTTAAACCATCTGTAAGTGGCAAAGTTTTTTCTGTAATCATCCCAACGACGAGAGGCTTGTGGCTTTCTGTTTTGATTCTTGTAGGGTAGTGTAAATCTAGGATATCTGATCTTATATTCATGGTTTCTGACAATCTTTTCTAACTTGAATCAGAGTCCTTCAGAGGTTCAGGCAAATGCAGCAGAAACATTATGTGCAATTTCTCGGAATGCACCGTCAGCTTTAGCTACACAACTCTCTAGCCCTGGGTTTGTAATCCTTTCTTCCATGATTGGTATCTGTTGCTTCGATAGATTGACACAGAAGTGTTTCACATGGCAGCACACCGTTTTTCCTATTTTGCAGCTTCATTGCTAGGATATTTGGTCATGCTCTTGAAGACTCACATTCGAAATTGGGTCTAGTTCACTCACTTTCAGTATGCACCTCTCTGTTGGATCCGAGGAAATCTGCTGCTTCGCCATCTATGTTCAATTCTTTTAGAGGTCAACATATGTTCGAGTCTCCTGTCCCAGTGTCTCAGGAGACTATTGGTGCCATGCTGCCCAAGCTCGGTAAGTTGGATCCTATGGTGTAAGATCTTCACATGGCCATCAATATTATATTGCTAGCTCATAATCTAACTATGCAGGTGGACAACAGTCAACTCTCTTGTGTGATATTTCTTTCAATTCAATTTTGGTTTATATTTGATAAATTTTAGAATGCTTTCGTAGCACTTTTTGGAAAAGTAGGATACTATGTCGTACAAGCATTTCAATCAGGGTTTATGTCAATGGCCTTCAATGATTTTCTCTCTGCAGGCGACTTGCTTATGCTTCTCACTGTAGCATCTGACAGCACTGTATTGCCTACAACATATGGTGAACTGAGGCCTCCTCTTGGAAAGCACCGTCTAAAGGTCAGATCCAATTGAGCATTTCTGGGAGGAAGTTCTAGTTTTAGAATACCAACAATGCTTTTAATATATGTTTACTCTCTATGCTTAACTAGACTCAGTTATCCTATTTTTTGTTTCAGATTGTAGAGTTTATCGCAGTTTTGTTGAGGACTGGAAGTGAAGCTGCAGAAAAGGAGTTAGTTAGTTCAGGAGCAATTAAAAGAACCCTTGATCTGTTTTTCGAGTAGGCGTTTGTTAAACTTCAAAATCTTGATCTCAGTGTTGCTTTTCTACCGGATCTTAAATAATCAAATACTGTCAACATATGAAGGTACCCATACAATAACGCTCTGCATCATCAAGTGGAGAGTATAATACTTTCTTGTTTGGAAAACAAGAGCGATTTGGTGGTTAACCATATTCTTCGAGAATGCAATCTGATTGGCAAATTCCTTTCTTCAGACAAGGACTCAGTTCTCTCAGGTGATAGCCAGGTATGACCATTGGCTATGTTTCACTTTCACAGAGGTTTAAACTGATCAGTGATATATGACGTACTGTCATCTTAAGGCAGCTCCAAGTCAGAACCCTCATTGCTCCAATGTTCAGTAGCTAAACATATTCTGTCATTTTCCTTTTTTATTTGTGTGAGGTAGCCCACTGTAGCTGCCACTGGGAAAAAACCCCCTCGGGTCGGATATGTTGGACATATCACAAGAATATCAAACAAAATTGTTCAGTTGAGTAACAGCAATGGCCTGATAAAAGCATACCTTCAGGTTGGTATAACAGTCATACAATCTCCTGCTGTGTATTTTTTCTTCTTTTTTGTCAGTTTACACGCATAAAGAATATAAGACCACTAGTTGAGTCTTGTGATTAGTGGTCCGCTCATCTTAGCGCACTTATCATAATTTGCTGACTGGGGCTTGTTCATTCTCCAATCTTTAGGAAAACAGTGAATGGAATGAGTGGCAAGGTAGTGTACTGCAGGAGCGTAACACTGTTGAGAATGTCTACAGATGGGGATGCGGGTACGTCCATTAACTTCCGCTCAGTAATCATATAGTAATCATCAACATGATCAGTCACTGCTAAATTATGCTTAATATGGATATGTGTGATCCTTGTTCATCTTAGATAAAACTCTTAAAAGATGGTTCCTTAATGATGACTGATGATAGATATTTCTGAACCCAATGTTACATGTAGGCGCCCAACTACTGTACAAGATAGGACAAGAGATAGTGATGAAGAAGACAGGGATTACGATGTTGCAGCTCTGGCCAATAATTTAAGCCAAGCATTTAGATACAAGATGTATGGAAATGATGACAATGAAGAGGTATATTCTCATCCTAGTGCTTTTTTCCCCTCATTTATATGAACGAGTAACCTGAAACTAAATTTATCATCGATGTTCAGGACCACAATGCTCTCGACAGAGACGATGATGTAAGTCTTGAACACACTTTCTCTTCCTTTTTTCTGTGTCCGAAAATATCAGCATCTTCTTACTCATTTTTGCTCTTCAAAATTGATTGTGTTGTTGCTAAACAGGATGTTTACTTCGACGATGAATCTGCTGAAGTAGTAATTTCATCCTTAAGACTCGGAGATGACCAAGGAAGGTGAGTTTTCTTCTTATTCTTCTTTCTACTGATACTTAAACCCAGTCGTTGCATTTTACTGGTAAACGATCACATTCTCTCTACATAATGACTTAATTATTTCTCATTGCTTTGCTACAGCTTGTTTACAAATTCGAATTGGTTCACATTCCAAGACGACAGATTCGGCACCACACCCTCTGACACAGCAATTTCCAACACGATAGAGGACGTGGGATTGGACAGAGCCTTTAATGCGAATAGTAGCAGCAGTGACGACGACGAGGTTGTGGTAGGAGAAGAAGACGATGATCTAACCAGAAATCCGAAAGACAACACGATGAACATAACTGAAACCAACTTCCAAACAGAGAGCCCGATGGGTTTCTTCGACTTCAACTCGACAGAGAAAACCGAAGAAGCTTTCGCTGAGCAGCCACCGGAATGGGTTGGGTGGGGCGAACCATCATCCGAACCCATGCAAGTGAGTGGCACCGGTCTGAACCCATTCATCGATGATGACGATGATGACAGCAAGACTATGATGAATCTCGACATGCCAATGCTCGAGGTTAAAAACGATGCTGTGATTGCAAACGGGTCGTCCCCAACAGAAAGATCGTTGTTCGAGAAGGACGTGGAGTTTGTGGGAGTGGAAGCGGAAGGGACAGAGAAAGCGATGGATCAAGCTATGAAAGAAGGGATAGTAGGGGAAGCTGGAGCGATGAAGAGGAACAACACGGAGGAGATGGTAATGGCTGAGGACCAAAAATCAGAGGAAAGTTCGGGAGTGAAAGAGTTCAACGATAACAACTTCTGGAAAGTGGATCAAGAAGTCGGAGTTTTGGAGTGAACACTAGACTGAAAAATGTCAGTATCTTGTACAGTGTGATTTTGTACGAGTGTTATGTAAGAAAAGTTGAAAATTTGGTGGAAGAAAGTCTTTGTCGCTGTGAAAAAAGAAAAAGCTTCTTCTCTTTTATCATTAGTGTCTATTGTTGTCTGTCATTCAGAATTGTCATACACTCGTCTTTTCCGTAGTTCAAGATATTCATATTCTCATGCCCGTTCTAGCATTTCTCTCTCTTTTTCCTTGTAATTTTCTTAGTTAATGCATATATTACCATGTTATAGAAAAAGAGAAAGACGAAGGAAGGGCATTGAAGAATAAAAGAATATTGTTATATTAAAGAGCTAAAGAAAAAAACATTGGCTTTCACATGTCCTACTCTCACACGCAAATGACAGCCAAAGGTCTTTCTTCTTCTGCAAACATATTGCTTGCAAAATAGGAGAGACCACATAAGAAACATAACAAAAACAACACTATGTAATACACCTAACTTCGACTAAACGCCTAAACTCTCTCATCAGATTTTTAAAACAGTCACTAACCTTCTACTTTTATACCATCTTCCACTGAGCTCACAGATCATCGCAGTTTCAGAGTTTGGCCACTTCCCTCTTTGTCTTCACGCTCCGGATATCACCGCGTGAATCATGCTTGTTTCAAACTGATCGTCGTCCTTCCTTCTCATCTCTATGATCTTCCTGTGTGAGTTTGAGTGCACAGATGGGATGAAGGTAGGGCTTGAGGCTGGTCGGTATTCTGGAAGTAGACGACCGGATCTGTACCGGACCCCGCAAGCGTTGCAGAGGGTCTTTGGCCCATTAGGTCCTTCCCTCCACTGCGGTGTCTTGGTTGTCTCACAGTGAGTGCATTTCCTGACTATCCCGTCCGAGTTACTTGCCTCCAAACCGTTACACACCGTGTTGGTGGTGGGAGGGTGAATCTTGCGTTTCTTCTTTGCAGGTTGCTCGGAAGAACAGTAACTCATGGATTCCGATTCGCCACGAGTTAGCTTCTCGGGCTTCGTGGGTTCAAAGGGGAGAAGGGATCTAAACCTCAGTGTTGTGGGGCGTTTGCGCTTGCTTCTCATGCCTTTCACAGGGAAAGTCAATCTCTGAGAACTCAAGTTCTGAGGCGAGAAAGAGGCATCACTGCTCTCAAGAACTGACACTGGACTTGAAGACTGGAAGAGCTTTGAGACTTTGACATCAGGAGGTGATGAAGATTGGTGGTGGAGAGTGCTGTTTTTGCCGGACAATGATCCAGAAGAAGTGGACTGTCTCTGCACAACCCATGAAACCAAAGCAGATGGATTGATATTCAGGAACATTCAAAACGATATTCTAACAAGTATTATGCAGAAGTGATGTAAACAAGTAACCAAGAACTCACCAATCTAGGAACAGTCTTCTGAGCTCCCACACGGCCCCTCTTGATAATGCCACAAGAGGTGAGCTCAGAGGGCAAACTCGGGAACATATCCATGGGAGGAGGCTCAAGGTCTTGAAATCTAGCGTACCAATCTCCCTCGCCATTGGTGGCATCGATGTCTTCTAGCGGAAAATCAATTTGGTTGATGAAATCATCAAAGAAATCATCCGAGAGACCTTTGAACTCCTCCTCAGGTAACCGGTTCATGGTATCTAAGTATCTACAGTCAAAAATCATACTGAGAAAGGTAAGCAAATAGGCAATTTGATATGAGCCTTAACAACAACTATATGCATAATGAAATTTCAAAACAGCAAAGATTCCAAGGGAAGAGAATATTAAATTCCGATAAAAGTATCATTCTTTAGATCAATCTCTTTGTCAACTTGCTTGACCAGTCAAAATTTCACCTTAAAACTATTTGAGGTCTCACTCTATTACGCTGTACTCACACTGAGTAGTACTAAAGCAATATCAGTAACAGATAGCAAAAAAAAAAAAAAAAGTTCAAATGGTGAGACAATATGAAATAAAAGCTGTAATTTCCTCATACATACAATGGCAACATTTAAAGGTAAAGAATTTCTTCACAAAACCACAGAGAAGAAGTGTCGGTCGCAATTTACCACACCAACGATAAAAACACGCAGCGAAAAAGTTCCTTCCTACATTTTCCGAAACGTCGAAACACAGCAAAATAACGCCAACGAAAACACACACACAACACAAAAAGGTTCTCCACCTGAAGAAGAGAGAGAGGGAGAGAGGGACGTACGAACCTTTACGATACAGTTGACTAACAGAGAGAGAGAGGGAGAGAGTCGTACGATGACGAATGGAGTTTTCCGAAATTGGGGATTTAGGGATTGCAGGTTCGAATTTGGGAGAGAGAGAAAGGTAAAGGAGAGAAACAGAGAGGGAAGAAGAGAGAAAGGTAGATGGAGTTTTCAATGTCTCGTCAGTTTCATCTTTTTTTTAGATTATATAATTATTATTATAAGAAAAATATGGAAACTGCTTTTTCATCTCTTTTAACATTTCTTAACTTCAAAGAAAATCAGTAATCAATTTTTTGGGGGAGGAGACAAAGAAAGAAAGAAAATATGTAATCAACGCGTCTTACTATAAACTTTTAGTAACTCAATAAATACAATTTTTTTTTTCATACCAATCAATAAATACATTAACCGAAGCAAAAAATTAACTGAATCATTCAATGCAGACGTTGCACTTAATACAAAAACCTCTTCTGCATTGAGTAAATAAATTTACACGGATATTTGAATGAAATATATGTATAAGGTAAGTAAATGAAGTATATCTCTACAGAAAAAAGAAGGAAATAATTACACCAGTCAAATATTGATCTGAATGGATTAGGAATATTTGTCGGTGTAAGAAGATAATATAAAAACATAAAGATAAATTACCAATTTTTAACGTGGTAATAACAAGCAAGTGTATATCCCAAACAAAAAAAAGAGAGATTGTAATGAACAATAAAATATAGAAAATGATTGCGTGGAACAGTTAGAAGAAAAACAAAATAGCAAAGCACATGCAAAATCAGGTGACAAAAACCTTGAGGAAGGATGGTTCGTAGATCTCGATATGATATTATTGTTAAGATTAATGAAATGTTAATTTAATTAGCAAACAAATAAGTTGGAGGGTTTATTAGTTTTTGTCAAAGTGAAATGGAGAGATCACCGACGATTACGAGACGAGAACCGAAATTGAATAATTATGGCGTTTCCTCATGGGAAAGTGGGTCCCTTGCCTAACTCTTTGCTTCCATCTTCCACATGATGTGTTCTTCCTATCAATTATTTTTAATTATATCATACGAATAACTATCGTGATATTTCTTTTCCTTTTTTTTTTCTTTTTTCTTAACATCGATATTTTTGTTCCTTTTTCTGTCTTTTAAAACTTTTGGATATTGTAAGTTTGTAACTTTCTATATCTCGTCTCGTGGATAAGAACAAATATCATGTGAGGGTAATATTTTCTACATTTTGTACAGATTGTATTTATTATTTAGATATTTGTACGCAGACAATAAATCGTACAGCCAATCGCGTAGAATATAGCAGTGATTGAAGGTGTAAGAGTACTGTACATTGAAAAATGCGAAATCATATGACCTTTATCAAGAGTTGGTTGCTTGTTAAAATAAGCTTCTTACAAATTATAGATCATTTTTTTATCAGTAATCTAAAATCACTAAAACATAAGTTTTATATATGTTCATTACATCATCCAACATCTTAGCGAAGATCAAGGCTCGCATTTCTGAAGTTTACAAAAAGGTGTAAAATCACTAATATTGGTGAAAACAACAGTTTTAATTTTATTTTAGTATATATTTTGTAGCCTTTTAAAAAGAAAAAGATAGATTTACTTGTGATTTTTTCCCTTTTTCCACAGGCCCCAAAACTTTTTTCTTTTCCACGAAAAGTTGAAAAGAAAAGAAGAGAATATTACAATTGGACCCAAAAGCTCCTCCAAATTTGCTGGATTTGGCCCAAAAGAAAGTGAGAAGGAACAAGATCCATCAAATCTTAACCTTGGAGGTTCTTCTTCTTCTAGCGTTTAAAAATAGAAACAAGAGGAATAGCAATAAAAGCATCAATGCCACTGATACGAACTTCCACATCTTCTCATCATCCATTTCTCCAAATACACTCCTTAACTCATTCTGCAGATCAACAATGCTTCTCTTTGACTGCACACACACAAATTGTCAATCAGAAACTCAAGAGGAAGTTAAGTTTTCATCTTTGGATCAAGGAGAGGGACTTACAGTCGAAACCAACTTCTTGGACACAAGTTCATGTTCTTTGACAAAGATTTCTTTTGCATACTTGTAAAGCTCCACGTCTAGGTTGTTAAGCGATTTGATCTGTTGAATGACCTCGTTAGGAACTCTTGTACGCGTCTGTAAAAATGCATTTATCAAGAGATTGGTTATTCAAGCCTCCTCTCATTTACTTTGCTGCTTTTGAATCACGTAATAAAATATTCTTACTCCTCTGGTAAAATTTGCTGGAGAAATTCTCTTCAATGAGTTGACTCGTCTGGTTCCTTGCGTCTTCCGTAGATGAGTAATGCAGCCTTCATAGACTTTCATTAGGGTTTTTACCGTCATCTGTAAGTGTATACAATAGACATCAAATCACACTCCAGCTCATATCGGTGATGACAAGTGCGAATGGAGGATCTGTTTTACTTACATTTCCACTCTTAGCTTCTGTGTTATTCGATGCAACTTCAGATGTACCATTCTGCAATGTCACACACTCATTTTCGGCAAGAAAATTACATTTGACAGCCGAACAAGAAAAACTATTACCTACAGGAGCAGGAATTTACCTGAAATTCACTCTTATCTGACCCTGATTCTGAAACTGTAACACTTGATTCTGGAGCATCAAGAAAACAAAGTTGAGAATTTTGTAACAGAATATCAAAACCTTAAACACATTTTCATGAATGATATATGATGAGTTTTGGACTTTTAAGAGCCAAAAACTAAAGTACAAAACCATCTCCAATCAACACCTTAATCATACATCCAAGAGCGGTACTCAGACAGAACAGCAATGGTATAAAGAAAACTGAAAGGTGAGAAACGTACACCAACCTGATTTCGTAGTTTCGGTTTTCGCAGTTGCATTTGACGGAACCACTTGGGAAAGCACTTGAGAACCCACAACATTGGCAAAAAGTGATGCAGATTCCCTGTGCTCCTCTGTCAGTCCAACATACAACATGCTGTCCAACCTTCTCTGCAAGATGGAAAAAGCTTATATAATCTGCTGATGTTAAGAGAACAATTATCAAGAGACAGTGCATTACGATGAAAACAAGCGTAACCTTGGCGACTTGGAGAACAGGCTCACCAAGGCTCTTGTACTTCTGCACACAATGCCGAACCTCGTGTGCTTCTGATAAATGGGAGTTATTTGTCAATCCTGCAATCTGTGAAATGAAATGAAAATGCTCTCTAATCAATAACTTGATATTCCGAAAACAAACAGCATCAAAAAGTACCTGAAACGTCGCTCCATTGTGGATTATGTCATGAGCAGTAGGCGTATCGAGATACTTGTGCAAAGGCATAAGCATTTCCTCCATGTCATATGGGTTATCGTCCTCAATGATAACTACGCCCTTTGATTTCCGTGCATCACGCTAAGAACATGAGTAACAAGCTTCAGTCAAAAATTCATGTGCTCTTATCATGTATGAGCTTAAAAGTGAAGACGAATGCGATTGGCTAACATACCCGAGCAAAGAGGTCTTGTCTCATCCAAGGAACTAAATACTTCCATGGCCAAATGTCTAGTGTGCTTATAACATTGTTCTTGCGTATGCGGCTAGACATCCTTGTCGCAGAAGTCAAATTGGGATGCACCAAAAACCTAGCAGCTACCTCTACTGAGAACTCATACGTGCTTAACACACGCGCAATAGGATCCCGAACTATTGTCATCACTGAAGTTCTCTCTCTTGGAAGCTTTGCCATCAAACTATAGTCATCATGTGTAGCCAACAACTTGCACTTTTCTTTCCTATAAAGTTTTACGAGCCAAACTAATCTTAAGTATCACTCGCTACAATGATATCCTAAGTAATCAAGCATGAAGATAACTGAGAGAAGAGATGAGAGGAAGATAGATACCTAGGATTGAAGTGGAGCTTATCGTAAGATCGAGGACATTCCTCAGAACTATCATACAATTTCCTCAAGAAACTACAAAAGAGGACACAAAACAGAGCATTAACCACGCCGATCAAAAGACTCTCCTCAATTCACTTAGTAAGAGAAACCACTCACCAATGAAAATAAGTCCTGCCTCCGGTTCGGGGAACATGGAGAAAGAAGAGTAAATCCTGAAGCGAGCGTTTGTCTTTGTTGGGATGTTCTTCACGAGACGATGAAGAATCCGCCCAGCTTTTCACCACTCTTTCGCAGTGACCGAAATCAAGCTCCGCAACGGAGGCAAAAACTGAAATATAATTTGCCAGTTAAGAAGAAAATTAGAAAACACATTAGACAAGTCCAGTTTCATAGAGTATGAATCAATCAATTCTCAACAAACCTGAGCTGAGAAGTATTAACCCCAGAGCCAGCTTCGAGATAGGATTCATTTGCATTATTCCCCAATTCCAAATCCTACTGATGATTAGTAAGAAAATAAAAAATCAGAGCTTTTCGAGAAATGAAAATAGGAGTGAAGAGAAGAGAAAGAGACGATATTGAATTTGAGAAACAAACAAAAGGCAGAAAGAAAAAAAAAAACCGAAAAAGGACACTGCGATTGGGAGTTGTAAATGGAGAAGGAGACAGAGGAAATAGGGAAAGGGGACCCAGAAAATCGAGGAATTGAATAAAGGAAAGGAACAAAGGAACAAGAAAGAGAAGAGAGAGCCTACGTGTATGGGGAATCGAGATCTCGTGCTCATAAATTCCCTCGAACGCTGTTGGGGGCAAAACTCGCTATCCACGAGGCCCTACGAGAAGCTCGATGGAAGGAAGGGTGTGTTTTGTTATCTTCAACCCCCTTTGTATTACATCGATGGAGGAGGAGGAAGAAGAAGAAGGAAGAAGGAAACAGAGAGATTGTGTGCGCTCCCGAAAGAAGAGGGTCACGCGATTTCCTCTTGGTTTTTCGCCACCCAGACCCACTGAGAGAAGAGATCACTAGTGCCACTATTGATTGGGCATTCCAAATTTAATATTTTGTTTCATTGTTTCTTCGACTGTGGCCGTAAAATTGGTCCGAATCAATTACGACGTAAAAATATTTCCCTTTTTTTGTATTCGACGACTTTGACCAGTGCTTCGGAGGCGTTTTTGGGAAAAAACCAAACTAGTTTTTATTTTTTTGACCAAAGGTTAACCAAACTAGTTTTTATCCTCTTTGATTTGTAAGAAAATGTCTTTTTGAACAGCATTTATGATGCATTGACGCGGTAACTCGATATAACGAAAAAGTTAAATATTTAACATATCAGTTTCGACACAAATAAATTGCCCTCGTGTGTTCAAGACGCATGAGAAGTTGAGAAAGAAAAAACAAAAATTGGTTGAATAAGATGACACGAAATTCACACCATAGTACGTGGAAACTTAAATGAACATGTTCCGAAAACCAAAGGTAAAAACAAAAAACATCAATCTAAAGTCTAAACGAAGTCATGACATAACAATTAAAAAAAGCACACCCTACATGCAGCTGACATTGGGACACCGTTTTTCTGAAAAATATTTGATGGATGTTTTAATTAAGAGGATGTGTGTGTAGTGTGTTACTCTTGTAACAGCAAGAAAACCATCAGCCCAAACATTCCAACGACCCTTGGTTAGGTGTATACCGGACTTTGTCTATAAACATGTTTGTGGGTTCATATGTCTGACGCTAACAGTGATTGCCCTTTAATTTCCTTTCAACTCTTGCCATCGTTTTCAGTCCTTGTGTGAAGATGATATGTTTGTTTTGATCTATAGTTCTATACTTTACTATATCTTATTTTATATGACATGTGTCTTTTCGAGAAAAATTGTTTGTCATGTTAATTTCTCCTTGACAGATTGTTCAAACTTCAAAGTCACCCACATATATATTTTCCTATGGAGATAAAGATTACCTCCACACATTTTCTATAAATAGCAAACTAATTCTTATGTTAGCTATTATGGTAGATTTCTTTACATGTTACTTGATTATTGCCATTAGATTCGAAATGTTTCAAATGATCTGATACTTTTACAGCATTTTATATCGCAGTTATCACTGTAAACAACTATTTACAGCTGGCATACATTTACACATGATTTAATTAATATTTTCATATCTTTAGTAATAAAACACCAAAAATGGTAAATTGAAAAAATACAGCATACAAACCGGTAGTTTAGGAAAGAGATCCTTGAAAATGATTCGGACGTAAACCATATTTTCAATCCAAAATATAGTTGCAAAATGACTAAACTGAAATTTAGATTTGAACTTTAATAAAAGGGCTTAAAGATATTAATAAAATTGGGTTTGATGATTAGATAGCCCAACACAGATTGATTTGCCTTATGTTTCTCCACTTCTCTTCTTCTCTAGAATATTAAAATCCCTAAAAAAAGGCGCAAAGATAAACGAAGTTTTCTTTTAATAAGAAACACAAAAAGTTACAGACCTCATGAGTCAAAGGTATGAATTTCTCTCCTTCTTTGAATCTTCTTTCAAGCATCCTCACTGATAAATTGCTTTAGCTTTAATATAAGCTTAGATGTTTAGCATCAACAAATTTGACGATTGAAAATTCTCATTTCGATTAGATTTTGTCCATATATGGCAGTAGGAAATGCATTTGTTGTCATCGCATCGTTGATTAGCAGAAGTAGAACACTACCACTTGCTTGCGCATATCGTGAATTGCTCCTAATAATGAGAAATAAAAGTTTGATTACACTATACCAATCGTTACGCGATTTCGAGAAAAAACGAATTACATCAACTAGATTGTTATGAATGACTGTGCTTTACTGTTTTGCACAGAGATTGTAACGATATGGAAATTGAAGACCGATGTGAAGTATTAGAAAACTTCGGAACAGCAGTTAATGTGGAACCCACCACTCCTGTCTGTAATGGAGACAGTGGAATGATTGCAATATCTCCACTTTGTGACCACTTCAAAGATCAGAAGATGAGGAATGATACGCTTACTACTTGTTCCGATGAAGAAATCATCGAGTCTTTGTATCAAAACCTCTTTAGTATTGTTCTCAGCCTTCAAATAGAGGAGTCTGGTAATGGTTCTGGTTCCGGTTCCCACACACCTCTCTCTGCGGATTGCCCTGGAGCTCCCATGAAGCTTACCAAGTTATCCAGGACCATGGATCCTCGCTTCCAAAGAAAACTCTTCTAACATTGCTCTCATTTAACTATAGTCTTTTCTTTTTGTCTATTTGCACAAGATCTTGTGGTAGTTGTGTACTCTTTTGTTTGGAAAAAAGGAAGAAGTTGGTGTTCCATTTGGGTTTCATGTGTAATGTGTAGGTTGGATTTTGATCAAATCTTGGAACTGTACTCTTTAAGATATATTTAATATTTCGCATATATTCAAGAAAACATCATCCCTGAAGTTGCAAGAATAGGGAATAAGAGATATTTATAAAAGCTAATGACGTAGATATATCTGAGAGGTTTTAAACTAAGGAGGGGACTACAGAGATCTCACCTCCACTCACTTGATGATGGAAACGAAAGCTTCATTTACAGAGACAAGAGTAAGAAGAGGCTTTGATGATGTCATGTCCCCAATCATCCTTTAACCTTGTGTTGTTTCATGTACTCTTTATCTGCTTCTGCAACGCGGTTCTGGAACATTTTCCACTCGTTTCTGCACCTCTCTCTCACCTGAAACCGGAAGAAGACAAACACATACACTCACTGAGGTTGTCCAGATGATAGAGAAGCAAGCACGTTTCTATTAGTATGAATGTATAATAATAATAATGTATGCTTGTTGGCTATTATTACCCCTTGCCATGGTGATTTCCCCTTCTCTGACTCACCCTGTCAAATTTCATTTATGAGTCTAGAGATCATTCTGAGCAAAATATCTCTTAGTTGCTCATTGATAAAAAAGGTAAAATCACCTGGCTTCCAAGGGAAGGAATCACTTGATGGATAATCCATTGTGAATCTACCACACCAATCTTCTCATGAGCAGGCTGCAAAGTGGAAGAGAGTGAATCAATGGAGATCTAACAAGAAGCATTCGTGACATAAACAAAGCTTCCCAAAGGGTTTTACCCAACAAACTAACCTCAACGCATCGTCTGAGAGCAAAATCAAGACCCCATCCATGAACAAGATCATTCTGCGCCAGAAAGCAAACAAGATTGTTTTACAGCACCAACTGATGGTCATCAGAAGGACTACTAGACTTTTTCTCACTTTTTAGTCAGTTAATTACTCGCCAAATCTATTGATAGATAAACAAAAACCTGAATCATATGCCATACACATCGCCATGCTTCTCTAGAAAATACAGGTGCCATAATCTCAACAAACCTGCACGAGTGGTGATACCCGTTACCGAAAGGATTAAGCGCTCTATAGTGAGGTAGGCAAAGAGAAAGAAAGAGTGTACAGAGACTTACGCAGCACATGGAGGTAAATGTGGATCACTGCACCATCCTGGTTTTTCTTTAGTTTCTCTGTTCATCATTCGAGAAACTTAGGGATAGTCAAAGGAAAGGTAAAACAGACAGAGAGAGGGCTCTTACTTGTGGACATCTCGGTCACCTCTCCTCTTTGTCATTTCCCATGTAAGTCCGTTGTTTGGCTCTAAGCCTGGTTGAGATATCTCCAAACCATGCTTCTTAACTAACTCAATGTACCTGAAAAACAACAATTCAACATGTAAAGATTGTCATGTATCTGTAACTTTCATTCCAGGGAGAATAATTCACCTGTCTGCATTGAAGTGCTCGACTCCAAGATCTTCATCCCATATAAATATATACTCATAAGCTGAGACAACATCAGGATGCAAAAATCTCTTTGCATACCACCTGAAAAAAAGATAAACAGAAACGACCTGAGGGTTTCTATCAAACAAATTGTCATGACTGTATGTATTGCGTTTTTTTGACTAACATCTTACCATTTAGTTTGCTTTTTAGCACTGATATGTATTGCGTTTTTTGACCACTCGAACTGGTCCCACTCAGTTGTCCGGCCATCATAATGGAATAGCAAAATTTGGAAATCTTCAGAAAACTGCAGCAGTGATGATGAAACCACAAATCTTTGAGTTAACTGTATCCAAACGAAAAATCATATAATATTGAAATCATGAGGGGGAAATTGAGCAATTGCAGAACCTTCTTAACAGCTGCGTTGATATTGTTCCTCTGGTCAAACCCAACAGTAAAAGTTACTAGATATTTTGGTTTCTTCTTCAAATCCTGCAGAGGTCATGCATTTTTTATAAATCTCCTTCCAAGCACTATATTCTCAGACTATGCCAATTCACAGCCATGACACTAAGTACATCAATAAAACTGTAGAACATACTTCACTAGGTTCACCCCATAATCTGCGCAAGTAAAAATCTGTTTCTGCCACAATGATTCCTGGAGGGAGTAGTTCTGCACCATGCGGATTGGTTGGAACATATATCTGGAAACATACAAACACACATGATTAGCATGAAAGGAAAAATAAGTTCCCTGCCTCATAAATTTGATTAGTCTCTCTTTCAATCTAGCATGTGGAGTTTAACATTACCTTAGGAAACTGTCTAGAACCAAAATCTTCAGGTGATTTGCCACCAGAAACTAATTTCCTATCTGACATGGCTACATCAAGAGATGATATAAGTCCTGAGGGTAAGTTAATCTGCAGAATACAAAATAGATCAACCGATGAAAAAGGGACATTGAAAGGAAGTGATACACCTATGAATTCCAACCTCATATACCTTTATAAAGGAGCCTGATGGTAATGTGATACCAATAAAAAAGCCAAACACCACTCCCACGATTGTCGTTATGATCAGCTTTGCATTTTCATTTGTTCTTCTGGGAGCACCGCTGCAAAAAGATTGAACAATAACAAATTCTCAAACTGAAGACTAATTCAGAACTCGGTTTATAGCATCAAGCAGCCAAGGAAATATCTATACCTCCGGTGCATTGTCCCCATTGGATTGCCAAATCTCCAAATCTACAGCCAAAAATAGGTTAAATTTCAAACGAAATGTTCTTTCTTGAATCAAATAACGATCCTGGAAACCAGAAGAAGCAAGAAATCAGGAAAGTTATAACATTTTTCAATAGACCTAACTGATGTAGGAAAGCGTAACCGTTCAATTTCTTCTTCAACATCATATTAAATAGCTAATAATAATTCATCATACACACTATCTCCAGTACAATGACGGATTTCTAGCAGATAATAATACACAAGTTAAACCAAATGTACAGTGATTTGTAAATATTGTTGAAAACAGACAGCCATTATTGCAGCAGAAAAGCAAAACATGTCGGTGGAATTTTCGACATGTTTATAATTTTTTTATACATATGATCTTACTACAGATTCGGATATTACACGAACAAGGCCAGATCAAAATCTCAACACAGACGATAACGAAATCCGGCACCAAAGAGATAAATCGCGAAAAAATACCTAAAATCATGAAATTAAGGGGAAATGCGATACTACTTAGTACTTACGGATATTTAACAGAATCAAGCTTGTACGTTAGGGTTCCGAGTCGCTTCTCCGATCTCTCGCAGGGCAACGTGGTGAGAGAGATTCAGTTAGTGAGACACTGAAGAAGAAAGGACTCAGGAGAAAACGAGCCGATTATTTGTTTTTTTTTCTTAGGTGAAATGAAACTAAAAAAGGAAAAAAACTTTGATTTTTGATTTTGGTTTTGGCCAGACCCACGCCTTTTGATTTTCTATCAAAAGCTTGCCTAAATATGTGCATACGTGGCTTCCTTTCTTGAGTTTTGCTTTTCTAATTCCCTTCTTAAATTAGTACTGTACTTTAGAGGGTGAAAACTGAATACTATAATCCAAGTATCTACACGAATTTTTTAAATTGTATAAACTCTTTGGTATTATTCCGAACACAAACAGACCAAATCGGATTCAAAGTTGTAGTAATTATCATTTTCGTGTAAAAAACAGTGTTGATACTTGATCTATTGGTTTTATCAATCCAAACTTTAAAATATTATCAAAGGTACCAACATAAAGATGGTTGGTTAGCTGTACATATTTGCTGGTGAGTCGGTGACCATCGTCTCCCACGCTTTTAGTTTATAATAAAAATATATCCAATAAATAAAGAAACATCATATATTCAATTTCCAGTAACGAATCCACAAATAAACTTAAAAAATATCATAAAAGTTCAGCGACAAATCTTGAAACGATAACCAATATCAGCAACAAAAAAAAAAACAGTAAAACCATGTCCTGGTTCTGACTGAACCAACTCAATCTTTCTTCACACTTGCTAAGTAAGTCAAGTAAACCCAATCAAGTAGCAATTAGTCAAATTCAGCTTCGGTTTCCACGAGCAGGGGACGGTTTAGGGCTTCCTCCGGTTCCCAATTGCTGAGACCGAGTCACCATACGAGCCATCGATTCCGTCTGATAAGCCATTGGACCCATGCTACCTTCCACAGCCGGGCCACGCGCCGTTGCTCTTTGAGTCGAGTGCGAACTCATGCTCGAGTAGGCGTAAGCTCTACCTGACCTATGATACATCCTCTGGCTCGTCATCCTTTCTTGCAACGCACTCAACTCTGACGACAATGACTGACAAAGCCCATCTCTTGACCTAGCAGACGCCGTCTCTGCCAAGTCTCTCTCCCGGTTCCTCAGAACCCCAACCGCCCCGGTTAGGTCACCTGCATCGGCTAAAACCCTAGCCTCCGACATAGCTTCCCCAACAAGAAACCTATTCAGCTGTCTATCAACCTCTATAGACACCACTTCTCCTCCCGTCAGCTCCTTTGGCCTCTGAATGCTCACCTCTCCTGACTCAACACGGACAATCTCTCTCCTCACAGGATCTTTGTAGACGCATCTGACCTTCACCAACGACATGGACTCAGCTTCGCATCTCGGAATCTCAAGAAGCACGAGGAAGTCCCTTTCTTCTTCAGCGTACATGTCTCCCACATCGATCTTTGCGCTTCTTCCATCAGACGACACGCGGCTCCTGTAGCTCCCTGCCTTCACAGAGGATATCTTCAACCCCTGCTCATGAACGCATTCGATCTCCACAACTTGCTCAAGCACCACAACACTGAGAAGCCCTCCAATGCACTGCGCAAAAGCGTCCTGAATCACAGTCTCCGTCTCGATGAACGAGAACGTGCCACTAGAGACTTGCGAGATCGTGTGCATCAGCTCCGCATCGTGATCAGACCCGAACCCGAACGTGTGTATCGGAATCCGGCTAGAGCTCGGAAGCAAAGCCTCGTAATCCGCTCTCATACGGAGACCGTTGTGAGAGAGAGTGAAGTTGTCTTGCCCATCTGACAAAAGCATCATCCCTGAAACCACATTCTTCCAACGCCTATCCTCAATCACTCTCGCGCCAACCTTAAGCCCCTCCGCGATGTTCGTCCCGCCGCCGGCAGCCAAGGAGTTCACAGCCTGGATCGCCTGCTGCTTCCCCGTCTCAGTCATCAGCTTAAGAGGGAACAGCCGGCGAGCGTTTGAAGAGAAGGCGATCACGGAGAGCCTGTCCCTCTCATCAAGATTCTGAATCACGAAACCCATTGCGTTCTTCATAAGCTCCATGTTCGTTCCTTCCATGCTTCCACTGATGTCAAGAACGGTAATGAGATCCAGAGGAGCACGAGTGCGCCTATCATCATCACCACTCACACCTTCCGCTTTAAGATGAACAAGAACGGCAAAGTCAGGACGAGTGACATGCTTCGCCACCGCAGAGACTTCAGGGAACAGAGTAATCTCGAGTGGCTGACGATGAGCAGCAGCAGCATCATCACTCTGGATGATTTGGGACTCTCCTCCGTGAGGTAAAGCTTCGTCATCTTCAAAACCCCTTTGAGCAGGAAAGATTGGGAGAGGGACACGGTCGTCGACGAACAGAGGGATTTGTTTCCATTGAGTTCTGCATAAAGGGCAGATCCTGTTTCCGTGCTTGACGTTGGAGGTTATGCAGTCGAAATGGAACGAGTGAGAGCACTCTGCTGTAAAGATCGCCTTCCCGTCTTCCTTTCTGATCTCATCCAAGCAAATCGCGCACTTGCTCTGCAATTTTTTTCAAAAACCAATAACGCCAGAGTTAGGTTTTAAGCCAAACCCTAATCGAGGAAAGCGATAACTAGACGATCGATGGTTAAACACTAGTTAAAGTCTCGAACTTTAATCAAAAATTTGTTATTCTCGCATCACACACATAAAAGAAGAACCTTTGGATTATACAGATACAGAGAAGGGGATTAGAGAGAGTACCTTAGAGAAGTGGGGGCCTGGAGAGGAAGAAGTAGAGCGAGGGCGAGGAGACGACGAATCGGGTCGGGTCGGGTCAACGGATGATCTTGAGGCACCGGTGGAAGAAGCAGATGATGGGGCTAGGGTTCCGGGAAGATTGAGACCTTCGTTCGACTTCAAATCCGATTTCGCTTCTTGCCAGTTGTTAGGGCTTGACATTCTTGTGAGGTTGAAGACTCGGAAAAAAAGAAACGCGAAGGGAAGTTTGGACGAAGAAGAAGGAGAAGGTTGATCTGATCAGAAGACTTAAAAAGAAGAAGAAGACGAAGAAGAAGCGGTTATCGAAGGAGAAGCGAATTGTTCAATTTAAATGATTTTAGTAACAAGTTTATATTCCTTTTACGACTTTTATTTTAACATTTTTCTATGGGACGCAACGAGAAGACTTAAGACTTAAGAGAGATAAATTTTCTTTCCCTTTTTGACAAAAGAAAGTAATGGAAAGCTTTTTTTTCACCATACCTCTTCTTCTATAATTACAAAAAACAGTTCACCAGTCCAGTCAATTTTTGACATATGGGTCGTGTTTAAAAAGAAAAGTTATATAATAAAGGAACAAAAAATGAAAAAGGAAAACGCAAGGGCAACTTCCTCAGTCAAAAGATTTAATCCCTTTTGTATATATCAGAAATTTTTCCATCTAACCAATGACCAGAGGACACGTTTCATTACAAATGTTAATAACTGCTTAGTTAGCGAAAAATGAGATTACGTGGAGATAAACACTCTAAAGAGATAAGTAGATTACAAGGAGATAAACACGTTTCATTACAATCCCAGAGTGTTAACTGCATATTAATCCGTAATTTAGCCACTTGTGTCTCTTGTCCAAAATTGTAATACTTGAAACTTGAAAGTAGAATGTCACGTATTTGGAGAAACCATAGCGAACCGAGTCGGTCACTGACTCTGGATTTGATTAATCCCAACTCCAATAGTCAGTCACATTCAAAACATACTCGGTCAATTTATCGAGAAACTTACTTCAATTATCTTATACATACACATAAGATTTAACAATCTACGTCAGCTATTATTATACGCTAAACATTAGATTAGATCACTCGTCGTCTGAGAGACAAACCACATCATCATTGCGATTGGGGCCTTGCAATCCGCTGCCCAAGTTCTGTTGCAGTTGTTGCAATCCACTCCCTAAGCTCTGTTGGTGTTGTTGTTGTTGTTGCTGCTGCTGTTGTTGCAATCCGATGCCCAAGTTCTGTTGCAATCCACTCCCTACGCTCTGTTGGTGTTGTTGTTGTTGCTGTTGTTGCAATCCGACGCCCAAGTTCTGTTGCAATCCACTCCCTAAGCTCTGTTGGTGTTGGTGCTGTTGCTGTTGCTGTTGTTGCAATCCGAGGCCCAAGTTCTGTTGCAGTTGCTGCAATCCGATGCCCAAGTTCTGTTGGTGCTGTTGTCGTTGTTGTTGATGACTCTGAAGTAAGAGAGTTGCATACGACGACAAAGCTTGAGCAATTGGCAACGAGGTTGGAGTTGATGTCGGGATTGGAATCGAAGAGGATGATCTATATGAGTTGAGATGCGGTGGTCTTGCACTCTCAGTTAGATTAGTTGCAGGAGAAGCTGAAAAAGATGGAGCTGGGCTGGAGACGAGAGGCTGTCTTGGCTGAGGCATTGGGCAGACCGCTGAATTAAGAGGAAGGCCTGATGTGCGAGGTACTGAAGAAGGAAAAGCAGATGCCTGACGCTGCAGAGGAGCTGGAGGCAGAGAAACAGCAGGAACATGAGCCGGAGGAGCCAGGGTCGGAGCCGGAGGAGATGCAGTATAATTCCTCAGTGCGGTCACTAGTCCTGCTCTCAGTGCTAGCTGCTGAATTCTACCTGCTGGAAAAAGTTGCTGTCATGAGTCATGACCTTAAATCTGAAACCAGTTTTGCTCTATTATACGGACACTTACCCCTTGGAGCTTCTGAGGGATGAGATGCGATCTTGGTGGTACATTTGGACAAGAAGGCGTTTCCCAACAGTTTGTTCATTATAACGATATTCTTGGTCCTCTCTACCTCCGTCTCTCTGGCGTTCTTCTCAACTTCTACCTCATGAAACTTTCTTTGATACTCTGCTCGTACTTCAGCCAACTTCCTCTCTAGCTCAGCTCTCAAGATTGATGTCTGCTCACAAACAATCAAGGGTCATGAACCAGTGAGAAAACCAAAAAAAAAAAACAAAAACCAAAGGTAAATGGGTATTGAGGACAACTAACTTTTTCTTCAAAGGTCTTATTTACGTTCTCTGATTCTCTCCGCAACTTCTCCAATTCATACTGAAATGGGTCAGTGAACTGAGGGAAAGGTACTTGAGGAACAGGTTGAACGGCACTCTGTCCTGCACCATTGTTAAGGAGTGATGGAACAGGAGCTGTAACACTTGCTGAAGGCTCCACACCACCTATACGGACAAGCTGCGCAACGTTGTCTACACAAAAGGCATCAGACAGTCAGCAGTTTGGCAAACACTTACGGTTGTCGTACTAAAATGCACAAGACTAGTTACTGACTTGCAAAGGTTGACTGCTCTACTTGGCGGCCAGGTTCTGCTATTTCCATTTCACATGCATCTGATTCAGTTGTTGGATTTCCAGGCGAAGAAAATGGCACATGAGATGCATCCACAGCAGCCTATCCAAAAAGTAAAATTTACAAGCGAAAACAACATCTGATCAATACCCACTATCTGCTCTGTTTCTTGCAGTAAGTTGACAACGAACATTACAAGGACTCGAACTTCAAACCAACAAAAGAGAAAAGTCTTTAATCAGAGTCAGGTACCTGATCTGAAACAGCAGAACCACCAATTTCTACTGCATCTGATCCAGCTGTGTGAAGCTGAGTCACTCTTGTAATATTTTGGCCCTCAGTGTTTGCTGCTAGGTCAGCCTGAGTTCCAACCAACGAAGATAGCAGAGAGCATGCATCCTGAGCACCCGTTCTTTCCTGCAGGAAATCCAGAACGAGCATTACAAAGTTTTCAAACCTTTTTTTAACAGCTAAAGGTAATAAGTACCTGATTTGATACTGCGGAATCACCAATCTCTACTGCACCTAGACCAGCTATGTGGAGCTCAGCTGATGTGTTGATATTTTGTCCCTCAATGGTTGCTGCTGGGCCATGCTGATTTCCAGTCGGTGAAGATGGCAAAAGACATGCAACTTCATCAGCCTGTTCAGAGAGTAAATTTAAAACAACAATGAGGACCTGATCAGTAACCACACTTCCCTGCCCTTTTTTCCACATAACAAACTCAGAATGAGCACTTTACACTGAAAAATCTGAACCAGCAAAGATAAAGAATTCAATAGGTACCTGCTGTAATGCAGCAAAACCACCAGTCTCTATTGTTTCTGATCCAGATGGCTGAGGCTCAATTGCTGCTTCAATCGTTTGGCCCTGATTGTTTGCTACAGGGTCAAGTAGCTGTCCAGACGGTGAAGACTGAGACTCAACTGCTACTTCAATAGTTTGGCCCTGCTTGTTTGCTACAGGGTCAAGTAGCTGACCAGCCGGTGAAGAAGGCATAAGAGATCCAGCTGACTGAGACTCAATTACTGCTTCCATATTTTGGCCCTGAATGTTTTCTTGTTGTTCAGGTTGCTGTCCAGCCGGTGAAGGAATAGGAGATCCAGCTGGCTGAGGCTCAGTTGATGCTTCAATAGTTTGGCCCTGATTATTTGCTGCTTGGTCAGGTTGCTGTCCAGCCGGTGAACAAGGAATAGGAGATTCAGCTGGCTGAGGCTCAATTGCTGCTTCATTAGTTTGGCCCTGATTGTTTGCTACTGGGTCAAGTAGCTGTCCAGCCGGTGAAGAAGGTATGAGAGATCCCGCTGACAGAGACTCAATTGCTGCTTCTTTATTTCGCCCCTGATTGTTTGCTGCTTGGTCAGGTTGCTGTCTAGTTGGTGAAGAAGGAATACGAGATCCAGCTTGCTGAGGCTCAATTCCTGCTTCTTTATTTTGGCCCCGAATGTTTGCTGCTGGGTCAGGTTGCTTTCCAGCCGGTGAAGAAGGCAAATCATCCTGTCCAGAAAAGTCAACTCAATAAGCAAAGGGCATCTGATCAGTGTCCGCTGTTTTTACAGCAAACCAAGTATGAGCATTATGGGGATAAAATGAACAAACGATCAAGTATTATACAGGGCCAAAACGTACCTCATCGGATTCAGTAGAACCCCTAGTCTCTACCACAGACGCAGGGTGCATAGGAAACACCAACTCATTAGGAATCTCCTTCTCAAGAGAACAAGCTTCCTCATTCTGCTGGTCCAAAATGTTATCAGAATCAGAACCCACATGAATTGTTGTATTATTTTCTGTTGTAACCATAGCCTCCTCTCTATTCAAAGAAAATTCGGGGGAGGCAAGATTTGCAAATGACTTGGATATCTCTGGCACCCTTGAGGGAACATCTTCATCTGGTGCCACTGATGTCATCTTGTCATAAATTTGGTGTTTTGACAAGGGCACATTCAAGGCTGCAGATTCCTCTTGACAGCCAGCAGGAATCAAAATCTTTCTAGCCGCATTATCTGTAAGCTTTTCACCAGATAAGGTTGGGATATCCATCGCCTTGTCATTCCTTGAAGCCTCCATTTCACGAACCTGCTGAGTGCTGCCACCCGACATGGTTCCTAATGTGTTTTCTGCTTCTGGCACTTGATCTCCCTTCGAAACCATGCAATTTGTATCAGCATACGCAGCTTCACGACTGGCATCATTGCAAGTTTGTACATCAGGAGCAGTTTTGGAAGTGTTTGATGAGCATATTCCACTAAAATGCTTGTTGCTGGCACTTTTGATGGGAGCACAATTTATTAATTCAGCTTGTGCCCACTTCTCTACCCGACAAATCCAACATGCTTCATCCTCAGCCAATTTTTTCTTTTCAGCCTCATGCGTTTGCTTCAGACTTGTAAGGCCTTCATCCCTCACTCTTGTGATTTCATCAATCTTTTTTTCATGATCATGATCCAGCCGTTTGAGACCATCCTCTAAGCTCTGAGCACTTGTCCATTTACACTGAATTCGAATTATTAATCCTTCCACCGTTTTCTCATTTTCAAGTTTCTGCTTCTCGTCTGCATACGTATTCACCAGCTCCAACTTTTTCTCCTCGTGCTTTTCTTTAAGATTTTGTAGTCGATTCTTGGATTTCTTTTTGATGTAGCTAAGCGCCTTTTCGATATCTTCTGTAACTGAGCTATTACGGCCATTCTCAGTCATGCATTCTTCACCCTCTGAGTTACGCATCAACTTTATATTGTTCTTTTCCAGACGCACTGTAGCACCTGCGAGACTTTCATTCACTTGTTCTTTACTAACCTTTGATTGTTTAGAATTAGTACCAAAGCAATTTAACTGCAAACCTTGTGTGCGCTCAAGGAATAGACTCTTCATGCAGTGCAGCATGGAATATATATAATCGACCTCTTCTCTACAGCAATTGAAAGCTAATTCAGATTTTGCACAGGCCAGAGATTCTCCGTGGCTAAGTTTTTGCTCTGCAAACGAGGTTGCGATCCAAGTCTGAAAGTGCATTATTAAGAACGTATTTAGTATGTGAACTTTTCATAATATATGCAACGATCAAAAGCCTTACTTAGTGGCCTACAGAGCATGGGTTTTATTAGACAGCAGTAGTTAGCATGATTCGAGTAATGATTGGAAACTTAAATCTTGTAACGCATTCCCACAAAGGCAGTGATGACTCAGAGTGAGAATATTCAAACAAAGACAGATGACGATGGAAACAATTAATAAACTATCAAAGTGAATGCTGTCATACCAGGGCTATCTGGAAGGCCTGCAATGTGGTGGCTGGCTCTTTGCAGACACGGTGGTTTTCAATAACATATCCAAGAAATTTTTCAACCATGCTTGTCGAACCTTCCTGCAAACGAAATAATTTGTCAACCAATCACACAGAAGATATACATTTTATTGCAATTTTGATAGACTGTGCACCAAGATAATCACAGGAGTATTCAGTATGGACACGGCAGTGGATACATGTATGAGCCAATATATGGAGATATAAGACTACCTATTATAGCGGTACTGGATACACAAAACTAACAGCATCAGTTAAAAAACCACTTACTGAAAGATGCAAAACTTGGCAAAGTTTTGCCATGTCCGGCTTTAAAACAGCATGGAGAGTCTTCTGTGATTCCCGCATAAGTTGTTTCCTATCAGTGCCAGCTAACATATCCTTTGGGATTTGGAAGATCTGACTGCCCACAGAATTCAAGCTAACAGCATCATTTCCGTTCAAGGCTCCTGTAGGAAAGATAGTCAGCAAAGCAATTGCAAAATCAATGAACAGTAGAGGTATAGGAGCAGGAATTGAGCTATTTTACCCATGTGATCCTTCCCAGAAGTTTTTCTTTCATTGAAATCTAGTGTGACATCGTCGGAAGCCTTCTTCCGCTTCTTATTTCCGCCATTGTCAATTGTGGCAATCTCTTCATAGCCCTGAAGATACTGTATTCTTTTTCGACTCCTTTGAGGAGTATCTGAACCGTACTTCCACATAGGATTCCTCCCCCGCAACAGCTTTGTCCAAAATATATTTGGACTTTCTTCATCTGACAACTTGACATGTTCTTCACCAAGTAGAGTAGAATTAGTGCTGTAACTTCCCTGAGCATGTTTGGCTTCCAAAAGTAGACACAGCTTGCCTTTATTTTCTTCTCCAACTTTGGAAGAAAGTATGGACGAGAATTCATGAATCACGCTGTCCATTATAGATTGTTCAAATGGAACTCCTGAACCTGGGGTTTCACGGCCATGAAAATGCTCCAGCTTATCAAATAAATATGAAGCTCCCCACATGAGCAGTGCCTGTATGAGAGAACGGTTTAGGTTCTCGATAGGCTTATTCTGCCTAGCCAGATTCAGGGATTTTTCTTCAACTGTACATGTTGAGTACAACCGGAATATTTTAGTTCTTTCAGAAAATGACTCGATCTTTATCTTCTCTAAGAGCTTAACATCCTGCGATGGATTCAAGTTGCTTCCAAAAAGAATAAAAGCTTCAGCCCGCAAGAGTTTAATGCTGTGACTACATGCACGTGTTTCCAACAGCAGAACAAAGCATTGACTCTCCTTGTTGAAATTGTTTATCGCGTTCTTCTTTGCGGTAACGACCCCATGCTCATAAGAATTTTGACCAAATCTTTGAAACAGAAAATCTTCGAGGATATTACCAGGCATTAACCCCCCAGGGCTTTGTGTTGCCTGTTAAAAAAAAAAAACCCCAGTAATTCAATCATACGTGAGGCACAGATATGACAAAGAAAAGACGAGGAGAAGAAACATTTAAATCTATCATATCTCATAATGCCAGCTGATTACTGAAGGCTACTTTACAATTCCTCATCACATAATAAAAAAAACCATACTTCACCACCCAGTCAGAATTCAAAACAAGACAGAATCATTACGTCTAAAGTAAATGCCAGGATATATATACACATATACATAGATATATTTAGTTAGTGACGTATTCATGAATCATGACAAACAGAGAGCTATTCTCATTCATGCGTAATGGAAATGCACCTGGTAGAAGACAACTGCTTTTAAACCGTTCTTCTTTATTTGAGTGAGCATTGCATCAAGGAGGTGAAGTTTCCCGCTTGCTTTGACTTCTACATCCAGGATTTTTTGCCACTCCAGATTTTTGTTTAGCAGTGGTTTCAAAGATGCATCCGCAACATATGGATGGTCACAGGTCTGTAAAAAAAATGCAACCACATGAAGAATGTATTTAATAACTCCACGCAATTAACATGCCGAAAGAGGCTTGAGAAAATGTGATGCTGACGGACAGTAGTCAGATACCTAAACTGCCTTATTTGCACTACAAGTTCTTAGTGTTATGGAAAAGCATAAAACATATAGACAAAACCTTTTCCCTAACAAACAACTAACAGAAAGGCATAATACCAATGTGAAAACCTCTTAGGAGCATGGAGCACACAATACTTTATTCTGGCAGCAATGCAGCAAACCCCGTATCTATTTAATATATTGTTTCTTTTATCTTATTGCAGTGTTAAGTGGGGATTTAACGCACAAGCAAATTGAAGAATAAAATCTGTTATCAAATAAACTTACTTTCCTTACAGAAGTGAGAGTTTCTTCGAGAGCTCCAACAAGATCACTCCTCGACGGCGAAGAAAGAGATAAAGATTTGGAGAAGAGAGTCCGACAGTATTGCTCCAGCTGAACCTCTGATAGCTGCACCGGAACCCAAAACTCTTGGTACATCGATGACAATTTGGGATCATGTGATTTATCTTGTTGCAAATTTTGCCTGTTTTCGGGATCGTCTCTGCTTGTCGCGGGTCCAGTTTTCTCCACATCCTAACGCAATGCAGAATATTGAATTTGCAATTTACAAGAAAAAAGGATAAGTAAATTTAACTAAGTAACAGGCCACTGTTTAGCGGGTATTCAAAGTAAAGCCATCAGAAGCTAACCTGCGCCACTTGCTCCGGTTCTTGAACTGGCTGCGCATTGCATGTGCAGACAGTCAGATTTTCAAAATCACCATCGACCCTTCAAAAAAATAGTACAACTAAAATTACAATCCAAATCATATGTTATTGAAAGAAAAAAACTAAACTAAAATCAAAACCATGCGTTGGACATTCGTCTATGGTGGAAAGAAATCGTTTCAAAAGACAGACAGCACTCAGGAATTCTTACTTTTGCCGTTTATTGCAATTGCTGCACATTTCAGGCTGATTATTATCTTTGCACCCGGATGGAGATGGAACATCAGAACTCATAACGCGGTCATCTGCATTTGCAGCTATGGGAGGTGCATCCAGCACAATTCCTTCAGTGTCCCTTTTTCTTTTCAAAGGAAAATCTACGTCGGTTTCCAAGCTGTTTTTACAGACAAGAACCTCTTGTGTTTCTGAATTCTTAGACGGTGAACCTAAAAGGCTGCCATCCCCAATTTCAACCATGGGAGATGCATCAAGCCCCAGCCTTTCTGTTTCCTTAATTAATTCCGCAGGAGAACCAGTGCCCTTCTCTAGCCTAATCTCGCCAACTGGCAGCTTTTCTGTTTCCTTAATCAATTCCAAAGGAGAACCAGTGCCTTTCTCTAGCCTAATTTCGCCAACTGGCAGCCTTTTCGATTCTGAATTTGCAATGCCTTTTAGAGCATCAGCATTTCTTGCAAGTATGCGGCGAGAACACATCGCTCTGTAACTCCGGCCTGTCATCATAGGCTCCCGTTCCTTGACCTTATCTGTCGACTCTTCTATACTATTTATCATCCCATCCTTGCTTTCCTCAGTACCTGATGAAGTCTCTGCATTCCTGCCAGACTTATCTGATCCCTTGGAATCCTCCGAGAACAATACATTCTTTCCCTTATCGGACCTCTGCAAAGGACTTGATGTGGTGGTTTTCTTCTCCATTCTAACAGACTTTTCAGTAACTGAAGCAGGTGAGGAAGCCAGTCTCTCTGACCTTCTGGTACTACTAGATCTAGAAGCTGGAGCTAATGGACTCTTAGATGGTGCTCCCCGATTTGACCTCCTTAAACCAGGGGTCTCTTGTTTTGTTGAGAGAGCAGCTGTAGATCTGGTTAAAATGGTCCTTCCCGCTGAACCAAATTTTTCATCTTTCTTCATTCCGCCTGAAAATCACACTCAGAACTCAGAAGAGAAGACGCAAAGAGAATTAAGGCAAAATTGATCGCCGAGGAAGACTATTAGAAACCCGGCGACAAAATTTTCTGATCAATTTTCTTATTGGACACTACAACAATGTATTACACCAAACGGACGCCTAAAATCCCTCCCCAAAAGTACATGCGAGCCTCTAAAAAACCCTAACCCGTTCGCTCGACAGCAGAAACCTTCAATTTACCGATCACATCCCACCCGAAAAAAATGACCTAAAAGAGGGAACAAAGCGTACCTGAAAGAGAGAGGGGTGAGTAGAAGCTATCGCTTCACGAACTTCGAGCAGAATCTGTCGCTTCGCTTCGCGAGGGAAACTCTGGGAATTTTGCGCCAGTATGTAATTGTATTTACGCTTTATGAAGAAGAAGAACTCTGTGTTAGCCAAAACTTCAGACGTTAAAAACAACAATGTCAACAACCCAAAAGAAAATGGAAAAAAAAAGTCTGAAAAACAAAATTTTAAAACGTATTTTACTAAAGGGCCTTGTTAGTTAGCCCTAAAATAAATTTGGGCCGAACTTGGACTAACCCATAGATCCAACACTCAGTTTGTTTCCTTTTATATTGAACCAATCACGTTTTTTGTTAAAGGCCTGCTAATTACCTTATTAACCGTATTAGTTTCAAGATTACATTTCGTGCTTCCTTTGCGCATCATTTCTGTGTGGAAATTGGAATCGATAATTCAACTATTACATCACATCATGTGTACTTGGATAACGTACGTTCTTACCAAAAAAAAAAACATAAGGTATCATCATTGTACTTATGTTAATTATGGTGTGTATTTTGCTCACTAACACATTATTTCCATTGGATCCAATATGATATATAACTTTTAGTTCTTACTGCATTTGAATAAGAAAGAAACTGAGCCAACATTTTACACCTAACATTTGGTGGTTGATTCACTATTTTCGCTTAGTTTCTTTGTCACCGTCAAGTCGTCAATACATTATTCTGATGGAACCAATATTAAAAGCAAATTCTTGAAGATTATTGGGAAGAACAAGAGCTACTACAATCAAATGGAGGTGACATCGGATATAGAGTCAAAACGAAATTCTTAGCTTATTTCTGTCATGCTATTAGTGTTCGCCTTTTTTTCAAAATATAACCAAAATTAGAGATTAACATGAGAGATAAGTAAAACCATACTCAAATATAATAGCTATATATTTAGTAAGTAAGAAAAACTCCAGATGCTTAAATATGCCATGTTGGTTTGTAAAGTGACACCAGACGCTCATTTCCATTCTGAAGCGGGCGAGCATTTGTATTCGATTCCTGCAGCCAAAAAATAAAAGAAGTATATTAGGCCATTTTATAATTCTTCATACAAAATTATGTGTAAGACTGAAGGAAATACACATTGGTCTAACATTTACTTAACATTAGAATGTAAAAAAAAAAAAAGGTTAGAGACGCTCACATCGTGCACACTCACGCGAAGCAGATTCAATTGTTTCATTGTTACAGTCTTCATCTAGGAAATTTTGGAAACACATAAATAAATATAAAATAACAAATGGAAAAAAGAAGCTTTGAATAATATGGATAGAGAGAATAATTAGTATATCATACCTCTTTTGAAATCGTCCAAATGACGTTTTCAGAACACGGGGGAGTTGTCAGTGATCCCAAATATCTGTAATAGTGTCTTGATTCAAAATAAACTCTTCTAGGATCAATCATTCCCACGTATTCCTCGGCCTCGTATGTATCAGTTATCCTCTTCAAATATCCTTCCAGCTAATCAATAATAACAAAACAATTTTTTTTTTCAAAGTATGAGTTAAGTAATTTTGTAAAAGCCATGGCTATTTAAAAAGGTTAGCTATGAAGGTTATGAGATTGCAGTTACCGAAAGGAGACAATGGTCAGGTCTTCCCAATTTGTAAAAGAAAGCCACAACAGCGTTGCGTCCATCTTTGCTCTGATGAACCATGTGTTCCTCTAGAAAAAACCTACATGTATCATATGTATGTCTATTAGCCATACTATTCAAACCAATTTAGGCCAATGTGATCATTCACAAATTAGTACAAGTTCTTTTTAGACTCTTTTGTAATATGTTTATTTGTTGAAATCTGTATTTTTTTTCTTAAACTTGAATAGTTGCACAGTAGAGAGATACCTTTTGCCATTGATCGTGTGTTCTGAAGGAGAGTGCCAATGAATCTGTTGAAGTTGATACTCAGTACCGTTAATAGTGATCCCCAAACCTGCATTTCCTCCTTCAAATTTCAACTGCCACATTAACAAACAAAAAAAACAAGAACATTATTGTATGTACGACCCAAAAATGAAAATAATATAATGGAAACTAAAGCTAATAGTTGATCATTACCATGATGTCATGGCCTCTGTTCTTAATGGTGGCATTGGAAGGTAAATAGTGGCTATGAAGTGATCCAAGATGATGATCAATTAGGACCCTTTTGTCCGTTAGATCAATCGGAGACTGCATTGTGCCTTTTCCACACATTGCCCATTCTGGCTTTAGTGTTCCCCATTTTTCTGGCCCCCTCTCTCCTTCCTTCTCGTAATTAAACTCCAATTCGTCCTCTATATTTTCGTTTATATAAAAATAACAAAATGTGTTTTATAAAAGTCTAGTTTAATTTACAACTCGGTGGAAATATATATGTGAACGTTCATTAGACCTTTATAAACTAGTAGGTACACAAACTTTATTTTTAACGTAGTACTGATAAATGTAAGATCTCTGGTAAATAGACAAACTCTTCAACGTAAGCTATACTGATAAACATTTAAAGATGGTTTAAGAACAATGTCATAGCTTACCAACTTCTCCATTGCTTGGTGAACTCGAAACAATATTAATATAGATGAAGATAAGAGATAAGATGCATCTGATTGATGATATCTTCATTTTCTTATGCTATGTTTCCAGAAGAGAGGCGGAAGACTATTAGAATTTTGGTACTTATGAAGCAACTTCAAGGATATGGAGATACAAAGATGCATCCAATTGTATTTATCCTCTTATATTTCTCTCACTCAAGATAACAACTAATATTATTTTCCTTAATTTCTTCTTGCTTTCTTTATGTTTCTTTGTTTTTTGGTAATTTTACCAAATTATTTAGTTGTGTAAGAGGGAAGGTACTCTTTGTGTGAATCACCAGTTAAAATGTATTTAGTTAGTAAAAACTTTTGGGAGATACAATCTTGGTGTGATTGATCCAATAATTTAACTGGTTCTTAAAATAGATCCATGCATCTCGTAGTTATCAATTTATACACTGGATCGTAGTGACAAAATTTGAATAATTTGTTATCTTTGTTAAATTTATTTTATAGAAGAATTATCACACAATGTAAAAACACCAAGCTGAGGCATCTCAACTCTGAAGATATGGACAATTTTTTTACATGTATATACTTACATCAATGAATCTTCTTAGATTTCACTGTCTTATCAATTTATGTTTAACGTGTTATTTTTACCAGTAGTCATTGCAAGAACACACACCATCTCTGAAATGGTGGAACCGTGATCTGTCTCTAGCAATAATCTCCCTTCTGTAAATCTTTGAAATAAGCTTCGTAGCCTCATGACAATTTCTGCACACTCTTAGATTCTTCACAATTGTAAGTTTAGTCCCAGGCTTCGTACTGATCAACCCAAATGCAATAGCTAGCTTCTCGCTGTGATGCCTCAATGCTCCTTCTTTCCATTCTTCTTCCATCTCCTGCAACACTTCAGAAGTATCCGCAACAAACCCAGCTTCCTCCATTAACACTTCCATCTCTTCTAACATTCCGTAGATTTCCCTGTTCCGTGGATGGAACTTATCCCCAATGACGAACTCATGAACCACCGAATCTATCTCGATTGAGCTGCAACCAGGAGTTTTCTTCATACCTTTGCCATTGAGGAGAGCTCGTATCTTCGATACTTCGTTCCATCTTCCTGCTGCAGCGTAAATGTTGGAAAGAAGCACATAAGAGCCTGGGTTTTCAGGTTCAGCTTTAATGAGCTTTTGTGCAAATGATTCCGCCAGCTCGAGATTCCCATGCTTCTTGCAAGCTTTGAGAAGGGAGCACCAAATCACTCCATCTGGCTCCATTGGCATCGTGTTTATCATTTCTTCTGCTTCTTTGAACAGACCCGAATGACCCAAAAGATCAATCATGCACCCGTAGTGCTCTAGCTTCGGGGTTACATTGTAGTCCAGTGTCATTGTTCTGAAAATGTGGCGTCCAGAGTCTAACATACCTGAATGGCTACAAGCAGACAACAAACCAACAAACGTGATATCGTCTGGTTCGATCCCATTCTTTCTCATTCTCGAGAAAAGATTGAACGCTGCATCTGCTCTCCCGTGCATCGCAAACCCAAATATCATTGCGTTCCATGACGACAAGCTTCTATGGATCATACTGTTGAACACTTGCTCTGCTGCCTCTATGTCTCCACATTTAGCATACATGTCGATGAGGCTAGTCCGGAGAGAAGAAGCATTCGCAACACTCTTTAGCTTCCTATCAATGTACACATGGATCCATCTTCCAATATCAATGGCTCCAAGGTGCGCACAAGCAGGAAGAACACTCAGCATCGTCACATCGTTCGGACTTTCACCTGATCTCAGCATTTCTTGAAACAACAACAACGCTTCTTTGTAAAGACTCATATGCGTGTAACCACCGATCAATGTATTCCAAGTAATCACATCCTTGTAAGCCAATCCCTCAAACAGACCACACGCTGTATCCACCTCACCACATTTTGAGTACAAATCGATGAGAGCATTAACAATATTGAGACTTGAACCAAACCCATGATCATCATCAATCATTGAATGCACCTGACGACCCAATTCAATGTCACCAGACTGAGCACAAGCAGAAACTACAGTGACCATTGTACTCTCATCTGGCCTAACATTCGTTTTCATCATCTCTTTAAACAATCTCAATGCTTCTTTATAGTTACCTGTTTCCGCATACCCTGAGATCATCGCGTTCCATGACACTACGTCTCTCATGGGAATTTCATCAAACATCTTCCGGGCACTTCGAATATAGCCTCTGGATGCATAGCCAGTGATCAACGCCGTGTAGGAAACCACGTCTCGGTGAGGACTTTTGTCGAACACCTTACGTGCGTCTTCTAATCTCCCGTTTTGAGCGTACATTGAGACGAGAGAAGTGTGTATGTAGAGATCTAGATCACACCCAAGTTTCAGAACGTGGCCGTGGATCTGTTGGCCTTCGCTAAAAGCCTTCAACTTTGCACAGGATTTCAAGAGAAAGGGGAACGTGTAGGGATTCGGAAGGTGCCCATGTGAGATCATGCAAAGATACAGCTTGAGAGCTGAGAGTGGGTCCGAGCTCGACGCGTGCCCTCGAAGCATTGTATTCCAGATGAACTGATTCGGCTCCTGGATCGTTTCGAAAACGGAGATCGCGTAAGGAATGCCATCGAAGTGTGGAGAAAGAACGCAGAGCTCGAGAAGCTTGCTGAGAGCGTAGTTGGTGTTGTGGAGACCAGTTTTGATTATCTGGGCGTGGATTTGGCGTAGAGATTGAAGAGTTTTGCAATTGAGGAGAAGAGAAAGTGAGGGATGGTTTCGGAGAGTATCGTAGGGAGGATCAGAAGAAGAAGGAAGGAAATGGAATGGGTAAGAAGAGGGAACGGTGAGAGGAGGATTCAAGAGCATCATCTTCGTCGTCTTCTTCTTCTTCTTCTTATCGCGTCTTGCGGATTTTATTTTGCGATAAATTTTGGAAAGTTTTTTAAACGTAAACGCGAAAATACAAAACAAGATAACCGAAGTGTTGATACCGGTACGATTAGAGATGTAGCTAAATAATTTGTTTTGTATCCGCTTAACCAAACTGTATTTATTATATGAAGTTATATCATCATTTCATATGTGTTTACCATTATTTTCACGAGAGTATATGAAGAATAGTAACTAGCGAAACCATTATTTTAGTAAATTTTGTACGACGTAAACATGAAGGATTTAAGATTATAAAGAACTTGTAATGTCTTCGTTAATTAATCTCTTGGTCTGTATAGGTGAACCACGCGCTTGTTGATTGCTTGAACTGGCCTCGCATTCGAATTTTGGTCCTGTTAGATAATATTTACACATAATGAAAATGAGACTGACAATACACATAATGAAAATTGAGGTTAGCATGAGACCATAGGTGGACTAAATGAATCAAATATATTACGTGTACGTGTAAACTGATGAGAAAGACAGAAAAAACTTACATCGTGTACAGCCACGCGAAGAATCTTCACTTGTTTTCTTGTCACCGTCCTAACCTGATAATTTATTAAGGAAACAAAAATCATTACTATTAAGTTCAAGAGCAATAACCTAACAATAAAATGAAGTTTTGAAGATCGATAAATAATAAAAACCTTTCTAACGACGCTCCAAGTAACGTTCTGGGTACAAGGAGGAGTGGTAAGTGAACCAATGTATCTGTAATATTTTCTGCTTCCGATCTTAATTTGTTTGGGATTGATCACCCCAACACTTTTCTCTGCCTCCTCCATATCAGTAATGGCCTCTAATTCCTTCTCCAACTAGCACAAACCAAAATTTAAAAAATAAGTTTACTATTGGTAAGGGATGCATGCAATAAATCAATAATAGCTATTAAGTTTTTGTTTTGTGTATACCGATCTGATAAAAGTATCTGCTCTTCCGATCTTGTACAAGACCGTCACAACAGCCATTCTCCCATTCTTGCCTTCGTGAACCATATGCAGCTCAAGTGCAAAGCTGATTTTTAAATAATAATTTTAATTAGTTTGTAAATCTAACGGAACCAATCCCATATAATTAAATTTGCTTTAACATCTACTTTGTTTTTGGTTGAGAAGCATCTACAAATTTATGTCTATATAAAAACATACCAAAGCCAAAGCGATATAGAACTACAACCGAACCTAATTGAAGTGAGTTTGGTTTGAGTTATCCAATCCAAATTAAGGTGAAACAAACTTGATTTTGGAATAACAACCCTATTAATATCGTCATAGCTTCTTGTATATTCTACTTTTTTTTTTATGTTTATATAGCAGATAATTTACTCTTACATTGACATGCACGCGGAACCAACAAAATTGCACGTTGAACGTGCATGCATGACAAACGGTGTATTTCAACGTGCATGTATGACAAACGTTGTATAATACATAGGGTGATATATTTATATAGCCATATATATTGGTATGGTGTTGGACCTGTGAGTTGACAGAAAAAGAATATATAGGTACATTTGGTGTTGAAATGGTGGTAGTATATATGTATGACAAATGTTGGCAAGACCTTTGGTGTGATTAATTGTTTGTTCTTCTCCTAATAGGATGGTTACCTTCTTCCATTGACTGTATGCTCAGAGGGAGAGTGCCAGTGAAGCTGTTGAAGTTCATATTGAAAACCATTGATATTGATACTTCCGGCTCCATCTTCAAATTTTAGCTGCAACAATAATCAAAAATAATAATTAATGGTTCAGAAAATCCATTAACAAAAATGGATCATTTACCCTTATTGAAAAACGAAAAAGAAAAAAACTCAACAAAAAAAAAAAAGTGTGTGCTTAAAGGGTCATAGAGGATTATATATATACATACCATAATGTCATGCCCTCTGTTCTTGAGAATGGCTTTGGAAGGTTTATAGTCTCTATTAAGCCTTCCAAGATGAGAAACAATGTTAACTCTCTCGTTCATCAGATCAATGGGAGATTGCATCTCTCCTTTTCCACACATTTCCCATTCCGGTTTTAGTTCTCCCCATTTCTCTGGCCCCTTCCCATCGTTATTCTTGTAGTTAAACTCGTGTTCGTCCTCTACATCACCAATAAATTTTTATCAAGATTGTCAGAAACCCTAGTTTGGACATATCTATATATTAATATATAGAATTTCAAAGCATACGACGTACCAACTTCTCCATGACTTGAAACAGCAGCACTCGAAAGCGAAACAATGGTGAAAATGGTGAGCACAAAGACGATGCATCGGATTGATAAGCTCTTCATCTTCTGTTTTGTCTTGTTGAAGAGAAGTGTTTTTTTAGTCTTTGAATTCTAAGACGAGTTATATTATCAGTATGAATTGAGCTTGGCTGGGAACACACATCAGCTATAAATACTTGTTAAGACAGAGTATTTTGTACGGATATGGTAAAAGCGTTTGGTTACTAGTCCACAAGACTTCCTATGCTCTCTTCTTCCTTCCAGACGACATATTTGACTCTTTTGGTGAAATATGTTCTTATTTGAACTGGGAACAAAAAGCAGGTGTGAATCAAAGCCTGATTGTATCACCAAATCTGTTACCACAAATGTCCAGTAAAATAATTCCACATTGGGATTTATTGTGTTCATTCCTACGCAAACGATTTTCAAGGATATGGCACACATTGTTTTACTTTTGAAATGGTGAAGCAATATTTTCTCATCGAAAAACCATTAATTGTCTACATATTCAACAAACATATTTGTCATTCATAAACGATTTAAGTGGAAAAAACACTCGAAATTTTATATGTTTCAGGAATTAAACTCCAATAAAAACAAAAAAAAAAATCGAAGAAGAAGAGAAGAAGACAAATATACGAAAACGACATGTTGAAGTGTCACGTTACTTTCCTGTGTACGACCAAATCGCATCAGGAATTCAGGAGAGGAACACCTTCTGACATTTTCAGACCATTAGTCCGAAAAAGTCATTTATTTAGAGTGGTTGGTTAAAATTTCAGTATATTATATACATAAATAGAAGTTTTACGAGCCGAATTTCGTAAGGTCAAAGAGTCGTTTCACCTTACCATATATTATAATTTAGTGAATGTTTGAAATGATCCTCTGTTTCTAATGGTCGTCGTATCATCTAGAAACCATTCTTAGTTAATTTATATATACATAAGCGAGTTTGTGCCTTTCTAACTTAACTTATTTATGAAAGAAAATGTAATTTCTGATACTGTATATGCATTTTTTAGACCCAATACCAAATCTGTAAGGTCTCAGCTATATCAGAATTTACATTTTGAGTTTGACATGTCTCCATGTGGTCATCAAGTCTTCGAGAAGAGTCTCCTATTGCATCATGACAATAGACGACTGGAAAGAGCGTAGATGGTATGGCATCATTCATAAATCAGAGTAATCATTTTTGGTGTTGAAAAGCACGACAATAACATAGACCAGAAATAATTGTCTTCAAAAGAAAACAAATTCTAAATAATAGACAATTACACAAGCCGTCAGTGAATATATTATTAGTCTAGCCAGAGATTAATTCATGATCAACAGATCAAGTTCAGTACAGTGTGGGCTAGTAATGATCAAGTTCTGGAAAATTCGATTTTTCCTTTTTCAACAATGCGTGGGCCTGATTCGATTTTCCATTTTCAATAATGCGTGGGCCTGATTTTATCACTAGCCCACACTGTGCTGAATTATTTAACTCGGAAGAGTGTGGCTACGTAAAACAGAAATGTGAAGCTCAATCTTCCTATTCATATAACTGACGTGGAAGAAATTTATAAGAAAGGCTTCAACAATGGGGCAATCAGCTAATAATTCGCAAACATCTGACTCATATGAACTAAAAAATTCACCTTTTTTGTGGTATTTTTTAACACAAACTTATTTTGTGGTATTTTTTTGAATTTTGCTTTTGGAAATAGTATTTTTCAGATTTTTTAGTTTAAGTTGGAAAGTAATTCTGATAGTCATTTACGTTTGCATGTCTTATACCAACATTAGCTTTTGGATTATTGTTATGAGTATTGGACCTATACTATTGTATCACATGATATAGCTAACCATATGTAAACATGATCTGTATATACATTTAGCCAGGCTATAGTTTGCAAACCTGTTATTAACCTCCAACTACGAATTAACATATTTTAGAACACTGATCATCATTTTAATATATGCAAACTTCAAACTCAAAAAATTAATTTTCTAATGTATTAGGTTTTACTAAACTGGGATGATGATTCGTTCTAAACATAGTTTAACAGTCGTAGTTTCTATATTTGAGAGTCAGCGAGGACGTCTTTATCTGAAATGTGAAAATCTTTGCGAAAAGTCTAATGGTGCGTCATCATCAAATATCTGAAATGAATTATTGAGTTGCCAGCAGTTGATAAATCGGCAAACCACGATGCAGGTCAATGAAGCCATTATTAGAAAATAGAATCAAAGTCTCTCCAACAGCCCAAGCGCTAATTAGGAAATCGCTGAATTTGTTTATTTGAGTTATGACTCATCTAATTGAAATATGTGTACATACATGCAAGGTGTGTACACCCAAATAAAAATCAGATAATAAATAGACGTCGAATATGTAGTGATCAGACGGATAAGCACAAGAATAGCCTGTTCTGCTTAATGGAGGGGAACTACACATGGTCCATTTGGAATCCTAATCAATCACGGAATTATAACTCTAAAAACAAAAATATGTTTGCCCTATAATTTTCATTATTGAATTTGACACCAATGTTAAAAATAAGAATATTAGCGCCATGACACTCGGGTAAACTTAAGCCGACCATCGCCTTTCAGCATTGCGAAATTATGGTACAACAATGTATGTGATGTAATGAGTTAGTTCTCTTAAAATAAGATTGTATATACCTCAAGTCACCTTAATTTTCAACAAGGTCGCGGAATCTGAACTTTGCATCTGTTTTTTTAATTAAAAAACAACTATTTCGGGGATATAGTACGGGATCACAAAATAATTTAATCGTAGTTGCGCGAAAAACATTATGCATGGGAATTTTATTCTTGATTTGGCGTCAAAATTTCGTAACTGTACTTTAAATCCTCTTAGATGAAAATTAACGAGAGGGGTAATACATGGATAATCATTATTTATAGGATTCCCTTGTCTCCGTTATATATGTCAGGTGAATTGTGCAAAAGTACTCATGCTACAAATTTAAATACATAAAGCTGCTGAGCTCATCAAAATAGTTGACTTTTCACGTTCGGACAACGAGTTTTTGTCTGTTTCTCATATCCCAACTTGTTGGAACATTGACGCGTCAGCAAGATTGATAGATAAGCGCCTAGTCAGTTGACGGTTTCAAATACCCCCACAGTTTGCTCAACTGGCTCTGACGTCACGACGCGGAGAGTACGGAAATTGCGTGCACACACATTCGATTATACGCATATCTACAGATCAATGCAACGTTTATTTTAAAGTACGACATCTTCAAGAACTTTTTTTTTTGTTTCCTTGAGTTATTACGAAAACCTAACAGGACATGAGTTCAAATTTTACGAGATACATATGTTTCTAATAAGAAAACTACATGTCATATTGTTTTCGTATATAACATTAATCTATTTTACTGTTTTGCTATAAATTTGTTTACTTTTGTATTAAACCCTAGTCAAATGTCATTTGTGTAAAGATAGAAGTCATCAGCAATTCACCGTCACAGAACACACGCAGATTTTTCTAAAAAATTCATTATATATCTATGGGGTTTAGATGAAGACCTTTACACACATATTATTATAAAAGTGCTTACGTCACGGATTAAGATTAAATAAAAGTGTATTTGTCCTCCAACGATAGCAACTTTTTATATAGAAAAGAAAATGATATAAGTCCTACATCTGTAGGAAGGCGTAAGCAATTTGAAGAGACAACTAATATGCAGCTAAGGCCACTCCAAATTCGACCGTCCAGGAGATCAATTAGTTTATTCACGAAACGATCATATTTTCCTTTTATGGATACTATTCATTGTAGATATTGACAGTGATATCCCTCCAAAAATTAATCAGGAGTGTTGACTAGTAATTTGTACAGTATCGCAATCTTCCTTTTACGTCGTCTAGATGACAGCTAATTGATGTTACCGTAGATCAAAACTGTTCGAGTTGATCCGGTTCGGCCATGTAGGTACTGGACCATTTGGAAAAGTTGGGCAAAATCGGGAAAACGCATAATTGCTGTTTGCATTTAAAGGTTAATCATAAAAAAGGACCGAGGTTTCGTGTAGTTATAAAGTAGTCTATGTCGAACCAGCCCTTATGTTTAGTTCCACCGTCTTCCACGTAATTACATGGATACATTCTTTGACAATAGTTGATATATGTGACTTAACATAAACACAAACACAAACATAAAATCACTAAATTACAAGATGAGGAAAGGGTAAAGCGGTCATTTTAAAGCAGAAAGGCAACCTTTGGGATAAGCGAGAGACTAGGAAGATGCGTGCGGCGAAAATGGATTCCTCAAATGAATACTTTTAAAATGTTAGTTAACCGTTGAGAATCTCCAAATAATGCTTTTATCAAATTGTCAACGTAAGAATCCTATATAAGCCCTAGCTATAACCTCTTAAGTCCAAACATCAATCAATAAACTTGAATCATAAATATCTCAAACTTGTAAAAGAACTTCATATTTAGTGCAATGGGTGATCCTACAGGTGAGCCCGGAAGCTCCATGCATGGAGTCACCGGTAAAGAACAGAGCTTCGCTTTTTCGGTGGCTTCGCCGATGGTCCCTACCGACAAGACGGCCAAGTTTGACCTGCCGGTGGACAACGAGCACAAGGCAAAGGTTTTCAAGCTCTTCTCCTTCGCTAATCCTCACATGAGAACATTCCACCTCTCGTGGATCTCTTTCTCCACATGTTTCGTCTCCACATTCGCAGCCGCACCACTTGTCCCGATCATCCGGGAGAATCTCAACCTCACCAAACAAGACATCGGAAACGCCGGAGTTGCCTCGGTCTCGGGGAGTATCTTCTCGAGGCTGGTGATGGGAGCCGTGTGTGATCTTCTGGGTCCTCGTTACGGTTGTGCCTTCCTTGTGATGCTTTCTGCGCCAACAGTGTTCTCGATGAGCTTCGTGAGTGATGCCGGAGGCTTCATAACGGTGAGGTTCATGATTGGTTTCTGCCTGGCGACGTTTGTGTCTTGCCAATACTGGATGAGCACTATGTTCAACAGCCAGATCATCGGTCTGGTGAATGGGACAGCCGCCGGAT